CATAACGTACTTGTAGTTTGTAGAAAGTTCTAAGACCTCAGTCAGTATGTGTATATATATATATATATATAGACAACCAAGTTAGTGCAAGGAAGTAACTAGGTCACTGTGTGATAGTGAGTTTAGCCATAGAGAGCATATAGTGACGATTTCTGAGTTTCACAGCATATATTGTAATAACAGAGATAGAGGAGAATAATTTGTCTTGTCAAAAAGTGTTCTAAAGTAATTGAACCTGCCCATGTGGACTTTGACGGAAAAAAGATACAATTATTTAAAGCTCTGAATTCATGGTAGTTCAGAAAATAAGCTACAGTTTCTATACATATGCAAAAACATGAACTATATATTATGCTACAGTTTTATGGAAAAAGACCATGAATGTAATTTGTCATTTACAACTACACATTCAAAGAAATATAGTATTTTTTATAATGAATTATATATATGATTTTAAATTATAATATATATACTTCAGCTTTGGTTGTTTGTATGTAATAAGTGTATAGTGTACCTAATTCTTTTTCAAAATTTTTAAGCTATAGTGCTCTACTTACATAGTCTGAAAATAGACTAAAATTAAATTAGAAATTCTTCTTTACTTAAAAGCAGCCATAAAGAAAAAAGCCAATAGCAAATCCTTAACAAATCTCAGTTTAATTTATTGTGAATACAATTCCCTTTTAACTTTCTCAAGAATCAAGATACACAGTACACCATTTGCTGACCAACTTCTAACATTTTTCCATTTTCTTTAAGTTGAACAGCTCTACTATCATCTTCAAGATGAAAGGTTGCTGATGATGACACTTCAATTTTTCCCTCATTTGGTCTACTTAAAACAGGAATAGTACGTGGACCAAGACTGATACTCTCATAACGCATGAATTTCACTTGATGGGGGTCTGAATGAATATAAAACCAATAAGCTTACTTATTATGAATAAAAAAAAACCACAAGTTTCTAATTGCTTATATCTTTTTTCAATGAACTAATAAGAGTTTCACAGAATATTAAAACTTCATATCAATAGGCAAAAAGACAACACATTTTTACAAATAATTCCAAAAACAAGCAATGATGACTTAAATATATAAAATCTATTGTAAAATGATTCACGGCATATTAGATGGATTCCACATTAATATCCCTGAAAAATAAATAGAAAAGTTTGTTTGTTTAAAGTTAAGCACAAAGCTACGCAATGGGCTATCTGTGCTCTGCCCACCACAGGTATCGAAACCCGGTTTCTAGCATTGTAAGTCCACAGAAATACCACTGTGCCACGGGGGAGCAATTGAAAAGTTAAACATATACAAACATGCACAAATATTAAGTTAAATTTCTATGTATTTAAAATCATTATAAAAAATTGAAGTTCTTGGGTAAATCGAGAAAATAGAACAGCTCATAATTACAAATACTTTACCCATTAAACCTAGGAGACCATGTATTGCCCTAGGAAACACCTACAATGCTATCACATGCAAGAAAGAAAGATATCATGCTTCATCAAGCTACACCAACAGTTTGTAAATCTTAGTTGTGTATCTGTTTGATGATTAAAGTAAAAGAACATATCATTAGAAAGCTTGCATGAATTTTTCTGGTAAATCTAAGAACCAAGAAAAATAATTATGCTAATTTTTCCATAAACATGAATTTTAAAAGTATACAAACTTCCTCTCAGTCAGTGTTACAGATATTTAGTCCAAATGGCTACATTAGCTGTACCTAACACTTAACTATTTTAATTACATAGTAACATAATGAGATAAATCTATAAAGCTCTGACAAATTACATGCTAATCCTTATAAGTTTCACTTTCCATTAAATATTTTTCTTGGCACTACACCCTACTATTGTCTGCATTAACCCTATTGCTACATAGTTTGGATATATCCAAATAAAAATTAATACCCACTGACTGCGAAATTCGGTTTTCAAGAAATATTACTGTCAAGTATAGAAAATACAGCTTCTTTCAATATTTAAAACGTAATACAAAGGGTCAAATTCATACTTTTATTTTTTGGTGGATAACTGACACTTTTTTGGGAATCAGCCTAAAAATTAATTGTGCAGTGAAAGGGTTAATCATTTTACACTTTTTTACCTCATCTGCATTTTGATATATTTCACACTAATATTTGTACTTGATACTGGATTAATAGTCAAGGATAATAAAATTAAAAAAAAAAGATCTGTTATTTAAAAGATAATCTACTGACTGATCAAAGTATATACAATAAAAATAACAAGTAATAAAGCCTATAGTTTATTGCATTTTGGAGTTATTATTTTTTACTAACTCATAACACACTTCTTGAGTAGTTAAAACTTTACATTGTTTGTTTATTTTTGTAATTAAGCACAAAGCTACACAATGGGCTATCTCTGCTCTACCCACCATGAGTATTGAAACCTGGATTCTAGCATTGTAAGTCCGCAGACATACCGCTGTGCCACTGGGGAGCAAAACTTTTCATACATAAAAAAATTATAATTTTTTATTATTTAGGTGAAACTGCATCTAATTTCAAAAATATAGTTTTGATAGGTTTTTAGGTATGTGTATGTAAAAGAACAAAAATTAAATCCATAATGTTATGATAATTTTATAATGTCTTCATTTTAGTAAGCTGCTTTTTATGTATGGTGTTTTGAGTTGTACTTTACTCACCACAGTGAAATTATATTTATACAGGATTTGAAGATTTTGTAGCATTGATGTGGGTTATACTGGTTTCAGTGAAGTTCACCCCTCATTAGTAATCCTGGACAATGGGTAAATCAAAAGAATAAGACTAGGCTTCTTATAATGGTGGATTGTATATTATATACGATGTTACAAGTTGTCTTAAACTCACTACAATGAATCTTTACTTGTATAGAATTACAGAATATGTAGTATTGATGGTACTAATAATTAAACTGTTGAGAAGTGGTGAATTTAATGATAAAATGGGTTTCATAGCTATATTCAGTGTTATAAACAGCTTATCTACTGAACAATTCAGAATAATGAATTAATTGGTGACAAGTGGTGAATAGAATGATAGATTGGCTTCATAATTATTTTTAGGGTGCTTTTTATTTTTACAAAAACTAAAACAAGCATATGTACATTCACTAACAACTGCAAGATACAGCACCAAATCAAGCCAAGCCACTATATATCACAATGTACATTACAACAAATCTGTTCTTACCTTTAATTTCCCTTTCTCTCTTACACATTCTTGTAGCAATGTTCAAAATGGTGTCACCTTCATATACAGGCAAGCGAACTTCAAAAAAACTGCTGAAGGGTTGGGGATTGATAAAAGTGACCATCACAGAAGGCTGAAAATAGTAGATAATTCTACCTGGTATAATACTATTACTTCTTGTTAAGCCAGAGAATATAAAGATGTCAAATATTAATAACTTAAACACTGAGAATAAAAATTATTATTACATAAAATTATACCTTATAGCAAATGCTACTACATTATCATTTCATGGACTAAATATCAAATAAACGTAACATATTTACAAGACACATGCAAAATATCCTTGTATGTTTTAGATACACAAACATTTTCAAAGTATTAAACATTTGTAACATATTATTTTTGTTACTGAACCAAAGTTTTACAAAGCCTCTAAGCAAAGAGTCGTATGATGGATTTAATGCCAGATATACAACTTCAATTTACATTTCAAATCTTGCATGGAGTGAGAAAGAAGTGATGAATTTTGAATGATTAGGCAATATTCCACATTTGAACATTCAATGATCTCTAAGATCTTTCCAAGTATTATTTTGACTCCAAATGCCTCTGCAGCAATGCACCATAGATTCACATTCATTTTGGACAGATCAGTTAGTAGCCAGAAATATTATATGTCAACACGTTTGGTTATAATGTGCAGGTAAATGTACCTAAAATCACCAACCTCTGAACTATAAATTATATAGGGTTGTCCAGGACAGCATTCTTCTTGAATCTTTTCTTCTGCAGCTTCAGAAGTATATTTTATCTTCAGAGATTCCAGCTGTGAAGAAAAAAAGGGTGCACAAGATATATGTATATGAAACATATTTAGAAAAAAAAACCTGTCGTTCAAAATGCTTAAAGCATGCAGTGTCAGATTTTTGCATTTAATGTGTGTGAGGAAGAAAACTTGTTGACTGATTTAGTTTGTTTTGGTATATTAAAGAATGAAATCCCGAAGTATATACACAAATAGCAATGAAAAAGGTAGTTTTACGGCATTAATGTTATGAATCAGAGGAGAAAATTTTAAGCTAAACATTAAGAGAAAAACATAATTTTGTTGTTTGAATTTCACACAAAACTACTAGACAACACCACCAACTGCTAACTATTGTCTGACTAAAAAATGGGATGTGACTATTACTCTTATAATGGATCCATAACCCCAAAGTTTGTTTTTTGCCATAATGGGGCCCAAACAAAGTTTGTCAAGCTAACCACTGGACTGTACTTGGTCCATAGATGTTAATTCTGTGTAAGGAAACCTAAACCAAAGAAAGTACTATGAGTTGCAAAAGTTCGGTATAAATGGCTGAAACTTTATGATATGCATTGCAAACATAGAAATCTCAAATTAATTTTCTCTGCAAAAAATCACTGCCCAGAAAATATCTGCAAAGCCAGAATTCACCTGCTGTAATAAATGCTCTTTGCACATTCTTTCTTATTAGATCAAAGTTACACAATGAGTTATCTGTGCTATGTCTAAGAGGGGGGCTCAACTTGAAATTCTAAGTAATAAGATTTTTGTACACAATACTAAACTTTCAGATACCTTTTGTTGAATATAGATGCTGGAGGTATCCCACACACTACAAAATTTTAAAAATTCAAAAAACAGCTAAAATGGGATAGAAAAAACATCAAATAAAACTATGTTTCTCAACAGTTAAAGTTGTTATATTTGATATTTTTGTTATACCATTTTAGCTGTTTACTGAATTCTTAAAATACCTACTGACATATTTTTAGGGATAAATTATAAGCTGCAAATTAAAAAATCATTAAGGCATTTTTAGAGTATTTCTAAATCTGGAGTATAATCCAGTATTAAAGAAGGTGTGAAGAGGAAGGTTTTGAGGCTAAACAATGATCATTGACAACATTTTTTTCTTATCACATTTGTAGTTCACCATCAGTAACTTAAATCACAAATGTGCAAAAAATTCACTGTAAATTTACCTGAAAGTTTTTCTTGGCATTGATTTGTGAAAATTATAAGATAAAGCATGGTACTTTTACCCACTGTTGTTGTTGCTATTCCACAAAGAACCTTTAAAAAATGTTATTGAAAACATTCATAGTGAAATGTGGTGTTTTATCACATGCAAGAGGCCTCTAAAACTTTTAAAATTAGCGAAAAATTTAATAACAAATTGACACTAGATACAAAAAAAATTGGGTATTCTAATTTGTGGGCCTGATTTTTTCATCATAATAATCAAGACCCGCCGTTCTAATAAAGACAACTAAGTCTATATAATTATTAACCTTTTTTTTAATTAATAACTTTTCCAATAAAAAATTTAATCATTCGTATCAATATTTTTAACAGGAGAAAACATCTAAACCAACAAACTATAAATGTTTATATTAAAGGTCAAAGAACCATTGGAATTTAACTTACCTCTAGTGTGTTTGTGAGATATGTAAGATTCTGTGTTAGAACATGCACTTCATCAAAATCTAAAGTCAGGCTCAAAGCTTTATCCCCATGCTTTGCCATTTTCTCCTAGAAAAAAAACAAACAAAATAATGCTGGCTAATATACTGAATTGAAGCTCAAAGTAAGAATAAGCAGTAAATAATGAAATAAACCATACATAATTCTATAATATTTACAGATCACACTTACTGTTGGTTTTCAAATTTGTTTTTTAGTTTTTGAGAGAACCGATTTCATTTTACATGTGTTTTTTTTTATTAATTCAGTGAAAATTAAACATCTGGATGTAATTCCACATACATACACACTTATAACATCAAATTATCTTATAAAGTGTTATATATGTTGATAGCATAATCAGAATATTTAAAATAAATGCTTCAGCTTCTATAAAAGTCTTATCAGGTACCCTTGTTGCTTGTACAAATGGCATCACTTTCTTCATGTGTTTCTTCAGCTCTGGTAGATTTTTTAACTCTGATGCTATAACCTTGTTCTCAGGTAAACTGCCATGTTGCTATGGAAGAAGAGACACTGTATGACTTTTGGAAACTCAACAGCTACAGTATTGTGAAACATTATGAATAGAAAAAAACTTCTCAATAGGAAACACCACTTTTTAAAATTAGTGTTAGTCCTGTCCCAAAGTGCCTCAAAAGCTAGTAGTACAGTGCACCAAGTTGACAACAAAACTCTAGAATTTTCTAAGTTAAGAATTAACACATTAAAGATTTAATGGGAATATCCTAAATAACTAATTTCACATTCTGTAATACATTAAAAGAAAATAAAACAAAAAGGTCACAGTTGATTATAAAACTGTACTACTTTTCATGTTAATACTTTTGTTTTAATTACCAACCTTATTTAGCTCATGCATTGTGTTTAGTACAGCTGATTGCCAAGGTGGAAAGGTTTTCGCAACCCAGATGGTGCCATGAGTAGGAATTTGTGGTGCTGTGGATGTTGGTTTATTTCCTTTCTAAAAAGTTTAAGGATACAAGAAGTACTTTCAGTAAAAAAAATCTCAGAAAAAAATCCAAGTTATACCTTCTTGTATATTTTAATTCCTAGTTGCCCAAGATTTTTTTTAACAGTATCAAGTTAGCAAAAATAAAAAATGAAGGGAAAACAAATTCAAATACTTAATACAAGAAAATTTGACACTTCAACACATTATTTGACTATACCTTCAATAAATAAACACAAAAACATACATCTTTTTGTTAATTCATATATTTCCATAAGTAGTGAAAATTATTTCCAAATCATAATTTGACAATACTTATTAAAGCACAAAGTGATGGTAAATAAATCCCATGTTCAAAATGACCATATCTCAAAAATTGCTTGTCCTGGGAAACTAAATTTTACTAGGGGAAAATTTACAATAGAAGTTATATTCAGTCAAATGTTTACATGATACAGAATGTTTCAAAAACTGTCAAAGAAGGTGCTAAACATGCTTTCTATCACTCCCAATTAGCATAACAAATCTATCTCTAAATGAAGCCACTGCAAGTGTCATCTGTACTGAAAAGCATTCAATAACCTTCACAATCACCTATATAATGGTCGTTTTCAGATCCTCCAAGTTTCATGTGATAGACATTCTCTTTGAGGAAATCCCACCGCCAAAAATCTACTGATTATAACACCTGGGACTCTTAACAACCTAAATAATCTGCCTAAATAATCAGCTTATGATTTTTTCTCCAGTTATAATGACTGTTAGAAGACTTTTAATGGGATGAGAAATATGAAGGGTTGCCCCATTTTGTTGGAAGGTGATATTCAAAAATGTTACATTGTGAGAAAACCATTTTAGATGTGTAGTATTCGGTTTAGAAACAACTTCAAGCCTAAACTTTCTTAAATAAAACTCAATGTATCTCTGGTAAAGTTTAGTTTAACTAGCACAAATAATTTTTTAAGTCAGAGTCATTTTAGATATGAGGTTTTCTTTATAACCATTTTGTACATGTACAGCAATACTAAAATGATAAGATGTGACCTGGTATTTCATTTTAATGTGCACATGAGTACAAAGCAAAATATGTTTAATAACATCATGAATAAAATCTTACAAAGACCAGTAATGGAAAACACATGGCAAAGCACTTCATATAAAATCATTCTTAGTTTCAAATAACATACCTAAGTCTAGTTTTAACCTTAGAGTCATATAGTTCAAATGTTTTGCTCTATTGATTGACATTAACATTTCAACATTCACATTGACTTGAAATTTAAGATAATAATTGAAGGCTTAGGATGAACCTCTTTTCCAACTACAATAGTGAAAAATATAATGTACTTTTTAACAACAATTGTGAAGACACATATTTCTTTGAAATACAGGGTTATAGGTTATTTGATATGGATAGAGTACTAAAAAAGAGGGGAGGAGGAGTGGGTTTACATGTAAAATGTGGGTTACATCTTGTTGAATTTGAAAATATCAAAGATAATAGCAATGAGATTGAATGTTTTTGGACTTTTGTAGTGGATACAGAATGAGAAGGCCATTAGATGGAATTTGTTACAGACCACCAGATGAAACTGATGATATTAATGAAAAACTCTAGTAAAATTTAGATTTCAGTTGATAATGAAGTCATAATTATGGGGATTTTGATTTCAGGCATATAGATTGGGAAATATTAAAGTCAAACCATGATGGGAACAGGTTTTAATAAACTGTTCAGGATGGTTGTCTTCACGAATTGGTTAGGGAACCTACTAGGAACAATGCTATTTTAGAATTTGTTATTAACTTCTAATATAGAAATGGTTGAGAGGGTGGAGATTGAGGAACATCTGGCTGCAACTGTTCGCTGCTCACTAAGATTTGATGTTTCACTCTGTATGTGAATATCAGGAATAATGAGATTTTGGTTACAAGTTTAAAAAAAATGGAAGCAAATTTTAAAGAAATGCAAAAAACATTATCCATTCTGAAATAGGCAACTGAAGATACTAATCAAATGTGGAAACATTTTTAAATAGACATGTTGAAAACTTTAAAAAATAATATAAAATAGACATGTTCCTTATATAAAAAAATGGGTGACTACAAATAAAAAAGCTAGGTTGGCTCACAAAGGGTATAAGGGATAAACTTTAAGAAAAACATTTCAGATTCAAGAAGTTTAAATTAACTGCTATGACAAGAGACTTATAGGATTATTTTAATCATAAAATAAGGAAATTGAGAAGGGTATAAGAATAATATTTGGCTGATAGTGTAAAAATTAATAGTAAGGATTTTTTTGAATACATTAAAGGCAAACAAAATATAAGGATGGGGTAGGGACGTTTGAGGGATGATAAAGGAAGGCTCATTTCTGATGATTCTGATATGGCTAGGTAACTAAATTCTACTTTTTCACAATTTTCATTAATGAAGATTTAAACGATATTACTCATTCTGTTAGGTTGAAACAAGATCAAATGAGATAATCACATTAATTTTGATCATGTTAAGAAAAAAATTGGTAAGTTTAAAAATGATAAAGCTTTTGAGTCAGACAGTATTTTCCCAAGGGTTTTGAAGAAGGTTAAGAATTGGATATGTGAGCCATTTGCAACTATTTTTTGTAAGTCCTTGACACCTTGCAAAGCTATTTAATAAAGTTAACAATTTTGTTAGACAGTCAATATGGCTCCACTAAGGGAAAAATCTTACCTTACTATTCTTTTGACATTCTCTGAAGAGGTTACTTATCATGTAGATGGAGGTAAGGGTGTGGATTTGGCATGTCTGAGTTTTCAGAAAGCATTTGATAAGGTGTCACACATTAAAGGATTGCTAAAAATTATCTCTATAGGAATGGGGGATAAGTTGGCTCATTGGATAGAAAAGTGGCTAGATGGAAGAGAGTGTTGGATTGTTATAAATGGAGTTTAGTCAAACTGGATTAATATCACAATTGAGGTATCTCAGGGCTATGTGTTAGGGTCTTTGTTTTTAGATTTACATCAATGACAAAGATGAAGGAATGGTCAATAAATTACTCAAATTTGCTAATGATATTAAGGTCTTGGGTGTTGCTGGCTGTGAGGAAGTGTATCCTGCCTTACAAAAGCATTTAGATCCTTTAATGAGTTGGTTGAATAAAGGGCAAATGCATCTGAATTGTAACTTTAACAGTATTATGAAAGAAAAGGATCTTTGTGTTTTGGTTGATCAATCTCTTAAGCCATTCAAGAAGTTTGTTGTTGCTAGTGGCAAGGTAAATAGGATTTTAGGTTGTATCTACAGAAATATTTCATATAAGTAAAAAAGGTTATGATTTTATTGTATAGGTCACTGGTTAGGCCTCATTTTGAGTATTGTGTTCAGTCTCGGAAGGACAGGTTAAGATCTCTGAAACTGTTTTCTCTTCAAAAAAAGAAGAGAATCTAACTGAGATGTTTAAAATTATTGAAAGAATTGATAGTGTTGCTGCATCATTGTTTTTCGTACTTAATAGTGAGTGTGGTAAGACTAGGGGACAAAAATATATATCTTGGCAGGGGTAGGAGTCATCTCCAGCTAGAAAAGTTTTATTTTTCTGACAATGTAGTTGGCCTTCGTAATGGAGTGTTTTTCAATGTAGTGGATGCAGTAGATTTAAAGGTGTTTAAAGGAAAGTTTGATAAACAATTCAAGGATAAGAGCTGGCTTTGAGTTCTTTTGTTTTGTTTTTAACTTTAGTTTAGTTTAGTGGATGGAGTGACCTAGATGAACCAACATTTCACTTATTGTTCTAAAATTTAGTATATTTAGCAATTTAGTATATTATGTATAGTATGTTTTGTGCACTTCTCTGAGCCAATAAACATGAAATTAAATTGAACATACAAAAATCATAAAAAGAAAATTAGAAACTTAACTTTCTATTTTAACTCTAGGCAATACCTATGAAATTTTCCTGTACTTTTAAAAACTATTTATATTTTACAATTATTCAACCCTATTTTTACCTTTGTTTTCAAACTTGCTTGAGCAAAAGCTTTTAAACGAAGACGAAACTCATGTGCTGCATCCATCAAATATTGTGATGATTTTAGCAGAATTGCATCTATTGACCCAGGAACTGGCCAGCTAGCCCTCATAATACTTTCTCCCTGATCCCACAAGAGGGTAAAAGAAAGAAGAAAAAAAAAAGAGAGATTCTAGTTAAAATGTTTTGTTAATTAATTGCAATAGACATGATATAAAAATTTAAGAAAGAAGTTAAAGTATTCTTTCTATTTGTCAATCTACTATTTATAATATATATAAATAACTCTACATTAAGTTCCTTTTTAACATTATAATTATGGCTTTTTTTATTTGACTATAAGAGAAATAATTTGTAAAAGTTTAGTAATAACCGAAATACACATCAGTTTCTCTGCTTATGGTATATTTTAAGCCTTCAACAATGTAGTTCTTTTAATTGCTAACACTTTGTTCAAATGGTGAAACAAAAACAGACTTCATGACACTTTTGTGTGTTTCATTCTAAACTTGAAGTGAAAATGAAGAGAAATGGATATAAAAATTGAAATCAAAACAATGAAATCATGGGCTATTTATATAATAAATTTTCAGGTCTATTGACTATAGTAAAATACAAATCATTACAATGTACACTATTACCATCCAAAGAAATAAAAATGTGAACAACAGAATACATGTAATTCTAAATCCCAAGTTACACCTGGTTTACTGTTAAACCATTATTGTACTAACACATCAGAATTCCTACTCTTAGGGTTCTGTTCAACACGTGGATTCAATATGAAAAGAACAAATTGTCTGTAATGTAGTTCTAAGTTTAGTTTTAGTTTTGCATACATCTACAATAACAATTACTGATTTGTATTGAAATATCAAAACAAGCAATTTGTAGACCAGAAAGTCAAAAAAGGTTAAATTTAGCATTTTACTGACATTTGAAATGACTTAAGGTGAATGTAATATTAATGATTGTCTTACCTTACCAAGCAATTTCCAGATATATTCACAGATATGAGGGCAGATAGGGCACAAAATCGAGACTTGAATTTCAATGAACTGAAATACCAAATCATGGTGCATGCCTTCATTGATAGTCAATTCACGGTATTTGTCTCTTGCTGCTTGGAACTCAAAGAAACCCGTTCGTAGAGCTTCTTTATACATCATTCGAATGTAATTTTGTTCAGTTAGAATAATTCCTTGATTAATTTCACTAAGAAAAAATAGAGAAATGTTATATGTTGTTAATATGTTCTTTTAAAATGGATAAAATTTTTATATGTGGTATAACACTATTAAGAAAAAAATTGTAAACTAATAAATACATTAAATACTCAAATATGTTTCTAATGAAAGGATTGAGTAGTTTAGGAACTTTTTAATGACTCAGTTCTTCAGCACCTAATGATTAGTTTTTGTTTCAGAGTTTTCATGTAAACCTAAACAAGGGCTAACTGTAAACAGCCATCCCTAATTTTAAGAAAGTAAACTAGAAGGAAAGTAGCTAGTCCAGTGTTTCTTAAACATAAAATTAGATAACAATATTTTAAAAAATGTTGCAAAACAGCAAAAGTATAATACAAATCACATAATAGCTCATAAACTGCTAACTATAAATAAATACAAATTTTAGTAAATTTCCAAAGAATTTAAGCTGAATTTATAGTATAATTTTTAATGAAAACAGTAGGGCAGAAGATGAATATCATCTAATTTAATGTGAAAGCAGCAGGGTTAGAAACATTGCCTGCAATGCTCACCACAGTACGCATCTCTTGTCACCCATTGTTATACCCATGAACCCAGGATAGCAACTACGAAACAACACTGTCATACTTCTATAGTTTTTTAATAAGCAAGAGTTTTAGCTGATACAAAATGCAATATTTATCCAAAATAATTATTTACTAGTGTATATTGAATATAAATCACAAACAAAATTACAGTTATATACACTTGCACCTTAAAATATTTAATTGTTCTTTGATTTAATAAGAAACATTTCATTATATCAAACAGAATAATCAAAAAACGAAATTATCAATGTACATAAATGGTTGAAAACATATAAAGTAGGAAGTTAAAAGATAAATGAATTTACCAGTGCTTTTTTATTCTTTATTTTTAGAACAGTATCATAAATGTTATTAAATCTGTAAAAATTTCAGAGTATAAAATCATTTGACAGAGTACAAATGTATGTAATTGTAATATGCTTGTAGTTTATATTTACTACATACTAGTAAATAACCTCTGTTATTTATACATTTGTTATGAATGTAGCTATTTGTGTACATTTTCAAGATGTGGGATATTAAACATGAACTATTTGTTTACTTGAATACATTGCTTATAGTTAGAAACACCTTCATAGGTAGAATAGCTTTTATACTATTCATAGTTGACCATTTTGTATCAGCACATGGAGCATAATAATTTATACAAGCCAGCTATGAATTATTAAACTAAGTATAAGATGTTAAATGTTTTTTTTAAAGTAGTTATACTTTTGACATGTTTAAACTTGGTATGAAAATATATCAACTGGAAGTATTACAAAAGTTGAATTTGATATGTCAATACTAGTCACTTTTCAGCAGAAAAACAAGTACTTTCTAATTCTTTTAAGGCCTTCCCATGGTAATACACAATACTGGATAAAATTAATAAAGATGTTAATTATCAAAGGCAAAAATGCAGAAATGTGCAGATTTTTCATTTCTTACGAAACACTTTGATTTATCATTTTAGGATTAATCATGTAAAATGGCAGAAATGTCAAAATTACAAAATTTATAAGCCTATTAATAGAAAAATAAGCAAATTGATTTAGAAGTGCATTCTCATTAAACAGAAAAATCTTCCAAGAGCAAGCAGATGGTAAATCACACTAGATATTTTGCAAGTTGAAACAAAGAAATTCACAAAAATGAAGAATAAAACCTGTAGTAAAGAATAAAGTAGCTAAAAGGTGTTTATAGCAGTCTATGAAATGAGCAGAAGCTAAACTTAGCTGAGTATGTAGAAATATCTGAATGATAAGCATATGGTTTTGAACGAACTGCTCATGCATAACTTAGACCTAAACAAGTCGAGAAAGCCCACAGTAATTGTATTTAGTGTAATGTTCACTTTCTTTTTTAAGAAATTACATGCAGGTTAAGTGTTGTTTATGTGAAATACTTCACAAATAAAGAAAACTAAAGTTGAAATCAAGATATTCGTCATGTGATGACAATGATATTATGCCATTGTGTAGCATACTCGTTACATTAAAAAGTTTGACTGAACGAAAAACAGGTAACGTGATTTTGAATGGAAAAACCAATATGCAATTCAGACTCCTCAGACAAAGGCCTTACTAGCAATATGAGATTTGTAGTGTTTGATCAAAAAATTTATGATAAAAATTCCAGAAAGACAAACACAAGTGTACAATTTATATAGATAAAAACGTTAAAAAATAACAAATATCATCAGACAGGAAATTCTATTTAATACCAAGGTATTATGACCTTCTAAAATGACTTTTCTTAAAATTTTGTTAAACTCCAGTTGAATATGTTTGGTATTTTGTACCCATATTCCAATCTCTGTATTCCAACATACATATGTAAGAGAAGACCATACAAATGAATAAATGATGCAATTTTTCATCACTTTGTTTTTAGTTTACTTATGTTGCAGTCAAATTTTCTCACTAAAACGAATTAATAATGTGTTATGATATATATATATATATATATATATATATTACAGATTTCTTTTCATTTTCACCAAAAGTAAAAATTAAAATATCATCTTTGATGTATAGGCTTAATGCATTCTTTGACTAGCCATACCCTCTGCTGTGGACTACAGTTTTGTCTAAAAAGGACTCAAAAGCCACATAAATGTGTTTATGAGTTTACTCAGTTTCAGTACTCATCTATATACATATATGCTTATGTATAAACTTGAATAGAAAATGGTACAGAATAATCACCTCTGAAAAACTTTATCATTGAAACTGTTTACAGGACCTTTCCGGAGAGATTTTCTGTATGCCAGCATTTCTTTTACCCATTCCAAAAAAGTGTATAGTCTCAAAATTCCTGCATCAGCCATAGTTTCCACAAAGTTTGCATCTTCTATACCATCTCCTGCATCAGCCAAAGCAAGCCTCATTCCTGCAGAAATAGCAAGTTTAATTAATAACAACATAAACAGATTGCTCATAAAATTTATACTTCATGTGAAAGTAAGAGTCACAAGTATATAAATACTTTTCAAATGTAATTGCTATTTTTAGTATCTGTTCAAATAAATAAAATTTACTTGATCTTAAACTATATTTTTATAAAAACAAGTCACTGGGGGTTGATTTTTCGTAACATTCACAAAGAAGAATCTAGGAACATATGGCATATTAATCCACAATAGCTACCAAAAAGTTAAAATATAACAGTGTAGTTTCATTATAAAGAAAAGCAATCATTACAATGGAATTTTTCAACTTGAATGGCACCTTATGAGCAGATGGCCTAAACAGCCAGGTCAGATACTCCTAGAAATCAAGAACTATCCTTAATTTTCGTCTACTAACTAGAGAAACGGTAGTCAGTCAGTCAGCATTTGCTACCACAAGTTGGGCTTTATCTAACTCTTTGAACTGAATAGCAAGATTGAATTTTATAACTTTCCAAAACTGAAAATGAAAGCATTTATGGTGGCATCATGTCTTTAATCCTATACCCTTCAACCTGCAGCTTCATACACTAGCCACTAAGCTATACCTGACCATATTTTTATTCAGACAACTAATCATAAAAAATACTTTACAGGTAAAGAGGCATATTTAAAAATTGCAATGATATATCTAATGTTTGAAACCTTTTAAAAATCTTTACAAGGTAAAACATTAAAATAACTATATGGATAAAATTTTAAAAATTCTCTTATATCAATCTTTAAATACTGCATAAATTTAACACATTTCATAAAAAATCAAATACTAACTGAAATTCAGACAGGGTAGAGTATAAGTCATTTAAAAAAATTCCTTTTATGATGATAGAAGACAATTTCTTCTCAAAAGTGTTTTATTCATAACTTTGAATTCAAACCAGATCAAAACGAGAATGACATATGACATCAGAATTGTCAATAAATACGCTAAATGTTAAATGTAAAAGTTTCAAAAATAAAAATATCAGAGATTTTATAAGAGCTTCAACTAAACTTTCATTAAGCTTTGACATTCTGCTCCTTAAAAAAGAAGCATTAGTACATCAGTAGTTCTAGGGATTGTTTACAAATTACAAAGTAACAATTATAATTTTGGAAAATTGAAATAAAATTAATTTTTTATTATAATAATCTAATACGACTCTCTTAGATTCTGTCTTGGTTTTTAAGCATCAAAATGTTTAACAGTATTTTTATTTGATAACAAAAGGAGCAGTAGAAAACTGATCTTATACTAAGATTGCAATGTACTAATAAATAAAAGGTTAAACCAGCTAAATAATGGAATAGTAAAAAGTTACTTACCATCTGCAGAAAATTTGTCCACAGCATCAGATAGGGTCAGAAAGTTTCCTGTGGACTTGGACATCTGTATTAAGTGTATATTGTTTTTATCTTTTTTTGTTATATAACAGTTTTGATGTAAGATAATTTGAAAGTTGAAACATCTGTTAACTTTTAGAACTAATATAGCAAAAGTCAATAACCAGAATTTTGTTAAAGGATGCAAGATCTACCACCACCAAAGAAATGTCATTTTAGCTTACATTAAAAAAAAAAGAATGAAGGGGGACTGTTTTAGGTGCAAGGAACTATTCTTCTAGCACAAAATAGGCAAAAATAGGGCTTGAAATTTTCAGAAGGTAGGGCTATTTTGTTCATAATTTAGGATAAAATAAGGATATAAATCCATAGACAACACAAGCTTTATTGTATTTTGAGGCGAGATTATGAATATGTCAATGTGTTTCTAGTTGCAAAATGACTAATTAAGAATAAGATGGGCTTATCTGCCTTCATCTTTAACCAATTAACCCACTGATTGTGGCTGCTCTAAATATTAAGTGTATCAGCCGTACACTGTATACTGTACACTCACATTCAACTGCTGAAGGTGGACCGTTTCATATACGGTGAATCAGCAGTCGATGGGTTAATACTTTAAGCAACTCCAACAGGAGGATAGTACATCTGAATCATGTGCTTGAGATTCAATTTAAAAATATAATTATAAAACTTTTAACAAGCAAATACAGCAGAGTTATTTTGTAAAATAAGAGAAAATATTACTAAAATTAAAAAGAGTAGAAAATTAGAGCCACTGGGGTTACTGCATTCATTACCTAATGTTAATGTTTCCATAGTTAATGATTATTCACAGCAAAGCATACTATTACCTTTAACCATATTTATCTACAAAAAAAAGTGCAGAGTATATATATTACCATGTAACTAGGAAGGAAAAATAACTAAAAATTAATACTTAGTAACCAGTAAGTGGTTTTGTCCATCTTCATAAAATTACATAGGAATGACATTTACAAAAGATTTAATTTTTTATAAGGAAGAACATTATGCAATAGAAAAGAAACATCAAATTTCATAGGGTATTATAATGTGATATCCCATGTGTAATACTATTTATAGAATAAAAACAAAACAAAAAACAATGAATGGCTCAAGCTCTACAATGCAAGAATGGATATGCATATGCACTGTACCTGGAAAAAAAAAAACTTTCACTACAAAAATTTGATGATGTTAAGAATTCAATGTTGCTTTGAAGTTGCAGGTTAATGCTAATATTAATCAGAAAAAGTATTTTACATGGACTAACATAAGTATAGTTATAAATATCAAGTTCCTTGATTTTACTTATTCACTAACTTGTTTACAAACTGAAAGCATTAATACACATAAATGCACACACAAACTCTGTGGTATCCACAATGTTGGATTTAAAATAATAAAGTTATTTTGAAAGAAGTAGAATCTTGTAAAATAAAGCAATAAATTAAGGCTGTTTCAGTGTACAAGATGCGCTACAAAAAAATTTTGACTAAAAATACACATACATTATTTTACTTGTCACTGTGCAAACCAACATACTATTATTTTTCTCATTATTACACAAAAAAAGTAACAAGGTGAAGTTCTACCAATGAATGTAATAATTTAAATTTTTGGACACCTGAAACAACAAAGTTTTTGAAGTTTGCTTACAAGAAATACACCTTTAAAAGATTAAAAAGAACATTGTTAATAATAATAATTAAATAAAATGAATAAATTTGACCTATATGTAAAAGAACAGCTGTGGATATCCTCCACACCAGTTAAATTAAATAACAGACTTACTTTTTCTGAATTAAGCAAAAGATGTCCATTAGCTCTCACACCTTTTGGCCACTTGTCTGGCTCTGCTGGCCATATGGCACAGTGATTGTACAGAAAATATGTTAGATGATTTGGAACCAGGTCCTTTCCTGAGCACCGTAAATCCACTGGGTACCAGAACTGGAATTCTTGTCTCATTTTGTTCAGAACTTCCCCAGAAATCTTACAAGATGGCTTGGGTGCATCCTTAAAAAATATGTAGTCCCAAACTTCTGGTGTCATGTCTTCACCTCTAGAAATATCATAAAATAGAACACAGTATGTGTTTCAAAAAGTCATCCAGGGGGAGATTTTTCTGTTTTATTGAACCTATTCTCTTGTGATAGAAAAAAAACAACACTTCAAGCTATTCATTCAACAAAAAAAGGAACACTAAGAATAACAAGTTATATAAATAACAATTAATTTTACATATTGATAAATTTTGTAAACTGTCTTTAATGGCTCCAAATCTGTGCATTTTTGAATCCAAACTAAATTGTATACAGTTTACTGCATTTTACAATAATATATTATATATGTACATAACAAGATTTTTTTGTATGTCAATTTTTTTCAAGGGTGGCAACTAGTGTGATAAAATGTTACATATTACAGGGTTTTCTTTAAGACTGAAAAGACCAATTTTTTCATGTGCTTAAGTTTCCACATTCATTTTTTATGATTCAGGGTGCTATCTTACTTCCAAATATCAAAATTTTAAGATGTGTACGTTAAACGAGTATTAAATAGAATAACAATGACAAATTCTGGAAGATTTGTTCAATAACATTCAAAGTTACACAAGGGCTATTTTTGCTAACTCCCCTAAATTTTGATAAGAGAGACTAGAGGGAAGGCAGCTAGCAAACAGCACCTACGACTGTCATCTCTTGGTCAACTCTAATAAAATAGTGGGATTTGACTGCCATTCTTATAATGCACCCCTTGTCTCAAAGTGTGGTGTGAAATTTTGCAGCAGCAGGAAGTGAGCCTTGGACCTTCAGATACATTAACCTGCTCCATGATTCATCCAAATAAGTAAGATTACGTTATTATAGAAGTTACAAACTTACCTAATGCCTTGTGGTGGTGGATCTGAACCACTTAAACTTCCACCATGTAACAAATGTGCAACACAGTAGTAGGCCATATAAATGGTAGAATCAGAGAGTGATTCAATTAACCATTGTTTGTCCCATGGAAGCTTAGTCCCTGCAAAAATAATACCATCTACTTCTAAAAACTGTCAAGTTAAAAAATTAAAGAGAAAGTACAAGAACTTAAATAAACATCTGAACACCTATTACAAGTTGGTATGAGAGCTTGAACAAATAAATAACACATCTGCCTTTCTAACAAAGTCCAGAACCAAATCATCATTTCTACCACCAATCACAATCCTTCTCAGGACTCCACTAAAGATGATAACAGATTATCACCTGAAATGCAGTGTATAGTTATTATGAAATAATAAAAAAATCAGTACTTAGACTTAGACGATTGTATAAGCTACTAAATATGAGAACAAAGCATATGCAACATTAGTGAACTGTTAATGTTTATTTGATGTGTAAGAATAACTCTTTCAAAATGGTAACTATAGTTTCTTGTCTTAATCTACCATCAAAATTGTGCCAGTTTAGGTGTTTGAAATATATAGAGAACATTTGTTGCAATTAAGAATAAAAGATAACTTGCTTAGCCTTTCTAGCTTTACACCAACATGAATTTAAACGTTCACATTTAACTAGTCAACTTTACAGTTATTATTTTTCTAAAACTAAAATAAGTTCTTTTTTCTTTTTATCAAAACTTCATATTTTCATGTTTAAACATTACTAAATTAATAAAGGATTTAATAATAAATGTTTCTATATGATTCATCTCAGAGGGTTATATTTAATTGGGCAAATTGTAATACTTCTGTCATAAAGGTTAATGATGCCTGTGCATGTATAACTCTAATGGAAACAAACAAAGTAAGGTAATTAGTTATACGAGTTTTTAACCCAAATATAATTATATATACGTGTGTGTGTGTGCATGTATATATATATATAACTGGTATAGTGACTTTTGTGGACATTAACTGAATTTGTCAAATTTCATTACATACTTTGCTTAATTTAGAGTTAAACAATAAAGTTGATGTTTACTAGTAACTGTTTATGATGTGATATAGGGATCTGAAGCTCTAAATATGGGTTTAGTTCCAATAATTAGTTGACAGGTGAATTTTAGATTGAGTTACAAACTGTAGAAATGTCTAGGAAATGAGGGGCCACACTCTGTCTGGGTTATAAAGTCAAGTTTATGATTGTTTCTACAATTCATAAAATGTTCCCAGTTGTTCCAGAACTTCTACAGCCTTTCAAATCTTTTCCAGTATTCTAATATGTTTTAAGTTTCTTCAGTTGTTCTGAAGTTTCTGTATTTCACAGAATATCCTATTAGTAAACTTTGTAGAACTTTGGACACACTAGCATCTCAGAAGTATTAATATTTTTTGTAGTTTCTATAAAAAGTCTCTGATATATCTATTTCATGGCCCATAATATTCTTGATTATGTAAGGCACTTGTCAAAGAAAAAGGTTAACAATGAATGAGTAATTTTAACATGACAAAAATAAATAAAAAACAAATTATCTAAATATGCACCTTATACTGTTACAAGACAGCTTGTATGCAAATACTTTATTTTAATTATAACTTACTACTATCATTCTAAATTTGATACTGCAATACCTTTCACTTTTTAAGGTTTGCTTTTACATACCTGAGGATAACAAATTCAAATAAGCAGCAAGATACAAGTAGAATCTATATGTAATAATACAAAGCAAGGCCAATAGACTGGACCAAGGAAAACAACAACCAGTGCTAGACATTAATAAGTTTATTACATCACCAAGAAACCATAAAACTCAGTTAAAATACTTTGAATAACTTACCAAAAATGAAAAGTTGAAGAAACTAATATTTTCTACCTGGATTCTTTAAACAATTAGTTCTAGCTAATGAAATAGGCATAAAAAGTTTTTACCATCTGGATATCTAGCTAATAACGTAATGGAGAATCATCTAAGACTGCTATGCTAAAAATGAAAATTTTCAATCCTTGGTATGATTTCGCTTATGCCTAGCATCATCACTGAGACTGTCTTTTCAAGGCAAGTAATGTACAAAATGCACCAGAACAACCATGCCTTCTGGCAACAAAATGTGAAACATGCACATAACATCTGGGGTACACTAAATTTTTAAATTGCTTTCAGGTATAATTTTATTAGGTGTTTGCATTTTTAGTGTAGAGTGTGTTGTCATTTTAATACAGTTATATATCTAACAATGTGAAAGGCTAAGCAAGTGCTTAGTGCCCTATGCAGCTCAAAGGACTCCATGATCAATGAGTATTTTTTTCACCCCAACTTTGACTTTTGCCTGCTTTAGTATTGTACTTATTTAAAAAGAAAGTGTTTTCAATGAAAGAACTCAGTAACAGATGGCTGTTTAAAAATTTACAGCAGCAAGACACTTCTCATTCTGGTACTCATACAGTGTACTTGTGCTGATTAGTTGATAGGTGCAGTACACACATACTGCGCATGATTTGAGATACCAGTGAAGTGGTGTTAATGAGTAGGAATAACTTTTTAACAAGTCTATTAGCACGTGATGTGTTTGCAGAAAAATTGCAATTAGTATTTTTTAAGAGGTGGGTGAGGGGTTGAAAAATATTCCTGCTTAAGACTCCTAATGGAAAGGCTATCTTCTTCATAATCAGATTTGGTAACATTCTGTTTGTGCTGCTTGCTTACATTTCAGTTATTCTTCCAAAACTTGTTAGTAGCAGATATTTTTGATGGAAGTTTAGTTTGTCAGAATTGTTCAAATGATATAAAACAGACCAACCCAAGAACAAATACCACTTCATTTTAATATATCTAGATAAATAGTGGGAAGGTTGTGAACACTTTCAGACAACATACCCATACATTAAATAGCTAAAATCAGTGGTGGAAGGCTAATTATGCTATATAATGATAACTCTATGGATAATATGGCCATTAAGTATTAACAGCCAATGGACTTAACACAGGTTTCAAGATAACTAAACAGTATTAGGAACAGACTACATGAGTCTAACTTATGGTTGAGAAATCTGGTTGAACTCCAGAATTGGTTATACAGATATGCAGAACTTGAAACAAAACCGTGATTAATGGAAACCTCGAAACAACGGCTACAGTGCCATTAACAGCAGACTTTTTCAGTCTCTTTCTTTTTTTATACTATTTGTAACCAAAATTATGGGCATCTTGATGTTCTGGATTAAAGGCAGTGTTTTTAGTCTCATTCTCTATACAAGCATTCAATAAAGCAAGCAGGCAGTTATCTTATTATTCCTGTATGGTATACTGGTAAATCCCAAACAATCCAGAAGGATGACCAATATTCAAACACTTGCAATGTTTATTGGATCAGCTCCAAACGATATATTATGATAAAAGTTTCCACAGATTCATTGTGCAATCTTATTATTCTGGGGAATTCTCATTGTAAACACTCTGTAGGATACATAAGCTGATTAATTCCAAATCACGTTCTCAGAGCAGAGGACATTTGGCTTATTTCTCTGTGTGTGCTTTGTTGCTCTCAAGAGTAGTGTATTACGGTGTTACGTAAACAGTCTAATGACACAAGTGATAATTTGTTGCTATATTTTCAGTGGATTTCTACTTCAGTTTGAAAGTAAAATAAACACAGAAATGTGAAACGTTTAGCAGTTCAAACTCTGAAGAGAAGTACTTTAAAACTTTGTTACCAATAATAAAGAAAAAAGGGCACAGCTAATCCACCCCCTGAGATTTCCTGTTGACAACACTCCATGTCATGAGAATGTGCAACTCAAGAACATGTGTCCTGCATACACCAAACAAAATGGGGGACCTTAAAAATTAGAAATTTAGTACGATTAATGTGGAATCCAGCTTTGCGTGGCTCATTTTTTATATTAAGGGCACCTTGCTATAGAGAGAATTCGGACGCACTCGGAAGGGTACCATTAATGTCGAGATTTTACCATATTTTTTACCAGAATTGACAAATAGTCTGGTTTAAGGTTTAAAAAATTTACTTGAGCTCCAAAATTGGTCATATAGAAATGCACAGCTTATTTTTACTAAAATTGCATACAAATTAGTGAGCACCTTTTCATTTCCAATTTGAATCGAGGGTTTTGCTTCTCGACTGGTGATTGACAAGTTTGTGTTGTAAGACACGAGTGATATACTCAGTGTATCGTCAGATATGAGAGCCTGCACAAAGCATATTATGTGTCCAAGGGCCGAAACACAGATCCAAAATATAAAGGGAGTCTGCAGTTGATTATACACATTTTATAACATAATAATTTTCAATAAAGATAAGTGGAAACATGTGGTAAACTGCATGTTGGTCTATATATCATCACATTTTATATCACATCTGCATAGCCTCCAAAGACTTTAGTTTCTTTACTATTCATCAAACATAGATAAAAAACATTTTGGAAAATTTTAAAGTGTTTCCATGAACGATCCATAAGAACAGAAAGCACATCTTGACAAAGAATCTAAACTATGGATTGGATAAACCCCATAGACAAAAGTTCATTATTATTAGGCATTGAGGGTAGGGTGCCCAGGATAACAATACCTCACAGCCAATCTAGCAGTTTGCACAAAAATGAAGATGAGGTGTGCAATCTTGCTGGAAGAAACATGTGCTAATAATCCAACCAGTTGTCAAGTGCAGGATGAAAAAGTTCTTCAAAATATCTAGAAGTGCAATTCCAATAAGCAATGGAAGTAAAATGGGATTGTAGATTTTTTTGTCAGGGAGCAAGAAATTCAAGCACTGATTCACAGAGAGTCATAAATAAATGTACTCCTGAACGACGTGCAAGTTCTCATTCCTTCAAGTTTGACAGTTGTGTTCTTAACTGTTTTACACAAATGGAATCCTGCCTCATCAGACATGATAATGAAATTACGAAAAACAATGTTATGATTCACACTTGTAAAACATGGTACTCATCACAAGACTATCTTTGTATTAACACTTCCAGCAGTTGTTGGATCACCAAAGTTTGCATGTTGAGTCTAATAGAAGCTCTGCTCACAGAACTTTCCAGACTACATTGAAAGGCCCCAGGCTCTAAGGTGAGAGCGTCTTCTTCTCAGAGCACCCAGATCCTGTGTCCTTGAACTACATGTGTCATTTCTTAATTGGATTTTTTAATGATACTCATGCGTGACAGGTTTGAAATGACCTTGAAAAAGCACAGCAATTTCAATTCTGGATACCACAGAATAGACTGGCTTTTTGTTGAATAATCATCATAAAAGCAACATATGTTGAAAAAACCTTGAATCTTGGTTTTAGCCAAAATTGATAACATGGAATAAAATTCAGGGTTTTAGACCAACTTGTACTTTACTGAATCCTTTACCTTTCCTCATTTTAAAATGCGTACAAGTAACAGACATTTGGAAGTACCCTATACTGACATGGTATTAAATTCAGTTTAAAGGCCTTTCTCTGCAAAATCATTCTGCCAGAATTGTGATGAACTACTTTTAACAAAAACTATAGTCTCAGAGTGGCCAACAAGAAGTCTTGAGCAAAATTTCACACACCTCCTCTGGGATCTCTTAGGAAATGTGAACAACAATACCTTAACTTGCTACACAGTGTCAAAGCACTTGGCAGTGCACTATGTAGTGGAAAAGGCTCCATCAATATTTCATTTTTAAATAAGTTTTCTATTTCTGTAAAATTCAACTCTTTCAAATATGTTGGTCTAGTTAAACCCTACTAAAATTATGGTAATTTAATAGTACTTATGCTCCACAGAGAGTAGCTACCATCAATGGTTTGTTTTGAATTTTGTGCAAAGCTACACGAGGGTTACCTGTGCTAACCATCCCTAATTTAGCAGTGAAAGACTACAGGGAAGGCAGCTAGTCATCACCACCAACTCTTGGGATACTCTTTTACCAACGAATAGTGGGATTGACCATCATATTATAACACCCGCACGGCTGAAAGGGCAAGCATGTTTGATGGGGTGGGGGATTCAAACCCGTGGCCCTCAGATTGCAAGTCAAGTGCCCTAACCACCTGATTTTTTTCAGGGGTCTCTCCAGAAGCAGAGTCCTGCATTTAAGAAATATTTCAGGCCAGACTTGAGAACAAAATGAGTGCATTGGTTCAGGCCTGAAAATAGTGTTAGAAATGCAATGAAACAGTGTGCATACAAGATTCTGAGTGCTTGCACTTCTTTTAAATTACTGCCCCAGATGCACATAAACAGTGTACCCTATTTTTCTTATGAGGAACAGAACAAACTTGATCATGCTTAACACATGGCAAGTAGTTGATTAGTAAGCATAGTTACCTATTAAAAGGGTGTTGGGCATATATTTTAGAGTAGCAGTGCAAAGAAAGTTGTACCACTGCTAAAACGGGTGAGGAGAATGCTGAATAAAGTTTGACACTGTAGACTTACAACTGATCCAACAACAGAGCAAGTAATTTTAAATAGCAGACATACCCATTCTTAAGGACACCATTATGATATGTTGTTTGTATCCTACATTTAATATTATCAATATTGAAACTAGGTTTATTTGTGAATAGTGTTATCTAGTAGTAGATTTTGATCTTGTTGTATAAAGGTTTTCTCACTATGTATACAAGTTTGTTTTTTTGAAGATGGGAATGACAACTCCAGTGAATAAGTTTTATCTATCGTTAAATTTAATGACCTATTTCATTTTTGTTTTCCCATTTCAAATGATACAACTTCCTTTCAACAATGGGATGCAGTACCGAAGTCTGATATTATTTTAATTTTTAAAGATTCAAATGTAAGCCTTAGAAATAGAGTTCAAATGGAATAGATGGTATTCCCCTCACTGAAATATTGATCTTACATCCATAGACACTTCTTCATAAATACACAGTTTATTTATCTCATAATGAACCCTGTGCCCTAGTTTGGTTGGTTGATTGTTATAGTTTAGTGATGCAAAGCATCAGGGCTATCTGCACCAGTCTAGTAAGTGCCACAGTTTGACCAATCTCATGTTATGTCCACAGCATTCCATATTTCTAGCCTCTTTGCTGAAATTTTTCTCTTTCTATCCATTTATTTATATGTACACACAAATACAATATGTGTGTGTCACAAAGAGAGAGAGAATAAGGTAATCACTACAATAAAACATACTATCAAAAGCAAGTGCTGTTACATAAAAAGTATTATGTCATACACTGACATGTTATGTATACTTAAATTTAGACACCCACTAAGAGAAAGTATATGTCACCAACATAAGTATAAGCAAACAAACCTAATCCATATGTTCGTGAGCATGCATGTTCATGTAACCAGTCTAAAGTTGCCTGGAAGTTTTTGCGGACTTCATCTGAGTATGTTTCAAGTCTTTCCAAAGCTAACTTAGCCTGATTTTTCCAATTGTCTTCTCCATAATCCAAGTACCTAGACATAGAAAAATTAATATGACAACTTAGACATTTAATGGAACTCCAAATGTATCAACACCAGCCTCTAATACTATGGTTCTTGGTGACTTATGAATTTTTACTTCATATTTTTTTCTGTACCCAAATATTAAAGCACAGAAAAAAATTTCAAACTGAGAACTAGATTAAAAATATATACAACAACACAAAAAATAGCTCTGAAGTACATTACAAAGTTTTTACAAATGTAGCTTTAAATCATCTTCACTGAAGTCTGGTAGAAATTCCTTCACCAAAGATTTCAAACACTTTTTGATTTTCTTAATTACATATATTTTCAGTAATTTCATGTTTTTTACCTGTTATAACACCGTGTAAAAAATTAAGCATAACAAATTGGGTGAAATCACTCAATTTTCTATGTAAAATACATAATGAACCCTGGCAATAACTAGTGGAATTAACTAAAATATTGATGGTATATTTGTTAATGTTTTTCTGTGTGACTCATTTATTGTAGGGGCCTATAACCAACAAAGTTATGGACCCATAAGCAATCTGGTATTTAAAATCTGAAGAGTCCATATCAAATCAATTAATCATTCTAGGGTTAGAAGACATGCCATTAGACACAGAACATTTGTGACATAACCATATTAGGATAACCCAGTAGTAATAAAAAAAACTATTGCTGTTGCCATTAAAATACAACGTTTGTGTACAATATTGCTAAGATATTTTTTCGTTCGATGTATCCCAAATTCCATTGCAAAATATTTGTGACACTTTTCTATGCATATATTTTTGACAATACACAATGTTTCTACAAAAACAAAAAGCATATTTACAGATACTTTGCCACTTTTCCTTATGCCATGAATTTATACCATATTTTGGTAATTCAATGAGTTTTGACCATTTTGCTGCTGTGAAGTACATGTACATAAATTTGTGTCATTTAAAGTTTACTGAGTTTTTATCATTGTAATTTTTAGTTTCTGTTTTTCATTGCTAAATCTGAAGGGTAAAAATATGAAGTTCTAAATTTAGTGTTGGTATAATAATACAAGACCGAATAGATTGTGAACATTAAATACAAATTCCTACACACACACACAGTAAAAGGAGTGTTGATATACATATATATATGTTAGTTTTAATTTTAAACAAACAGAATATGCTAACCTTGTTCCTATTATTCATATATATTAAAGTTTATTAAGAACTAGTACTCAGAAAACTCTTGAGAAACATAAAAAAAAATTTATTTATTTATAACACATACACAATAAACATTATATAGCTGAGAAACGCCAGTTTTCTGTAAGTTTCTTAAACTCATCTAATGCTATTTTTAAATTTCTGAAAATTGAACATCTCGTATTAAAAGATTGAAATATTTATAACTGGTAACTCATCATGCTTGAACCAATTCATAATTGATTAACTGGTTTGATTTAAAAATCTATGAAGTTTAAGAACTGTTGATATTGTATGAAATAACTTGGAAATGCTAACATATTAAGATTACCACGTCAGCTCATATGTTTAGAATCAGACAGAAAGTAAATGCTTGTGTCAGATCTGTTTATATATATTTCCTTGTGTGTTGTAAAGCATCTAAAGTATCCCGTACTTACTGCACATGGTATAACCAAGTGAGTAAGCTTCAACTACAATCAAATTTTGATGCTTGACATATGTGGCAGTATAAATAAATCTAGGTGGAAAATAAAAGAAATTAAACAATGGATTTGAGTAGCAGTTCTGAAAAATTTTAACTGGTTGGAGAATCAAATCGAATTGTACCAAGTTATCTGAGTAACTGTGATGCCCCTAATTAGTAATAATTTCATTGCTTAGTAGAAATGCTCAATATCAACTGTTTAGTATAACTGTACAATGAAATAAATGATATGTAAATATCTTTACAATTAAACATATATTTAAAAAATTGAAGAAAATAAATATATACTGAAATAGTAAAGTTTAACCATCAACTATTGTACACTTCTACTGACCAAGTAAATGCTGTTCAATATTTTTCTTTTCCCAGTTTATATAAGTTTTGTTTTAAATAATCAAACAATGAAAAAAATCAAAATAATTATAATTTTCTCTGAAAAATTAGTTATTTATGTTGAATTTCTTTAATTTGAGTAGCAGTGTTAGCATTATTATTCCATTCATCAAACAATGACTCATATCAGAACTACTTAAATATTTTTGCACATTACTCATACAACTACACAAATCTAGCTATTTATAAAACTATTAACTTACAATTATGACTTCATGTCTTAAAGAAAAAATGTGAGAAATAAAACATTATATTTTATTTCTTCTGTTTAATTAGCTACAAAACATTTTCCTTTTAATCCTGTAGTAAAGCATACTTTTAGTCAATAAGAACAATATATTTTTCACCCCATTATCTCCGTGTGACTAAACACTGGTTACAGGAAAACTGCAGTATATCCTCTAGGCTTACAACAAAAAATTATTAACTTCAAAAAACAGAAAAATAATTACAAAACATTAAACCTCAACAGTATATTCCATCGGTCACAGCGAACATGTAAAGCACTGTTGTAATGTTCTTACGTTGGCAGAATATCTGATGAAAATAGTTCAACATCCAGTCCATGTAATGCTAACAAATTAGTTTATTTTCGCTTTTGATGTTTCTACAAGCTTAAATACTGTGGAAAGTTGTAGGCCACATTTACAAATGATGCTAACTGTACTACACTAACAGAAAATAAAATCCACTTACTTATACAAAGTAACTCAATAAACAATAGTTAACACATATCAAAATACTTCAGTAAAAACAAAAACACTCTGACTGATTCACTCTACCAGCAAGAAGCAACTCTATCTTCTCAGCTACTTGCTTAACTATCCTTTCTGATGCTTCACTGAACCATGTACATATCTAATTTACCCTAGAAATTACTAGAAAACTATGATGTCAAATCTTTTAGAATTTTCCAGGTGTTCTAGGCCTATTTTACATCATCATAGCAACCCACAGCTTTCTCTAGCTAAATTACAACATTCAAAATATATCGTATAACAATACAGTCATTTCTAGAATCTGATAAAAAATACTTAACACGACTCACAAAGAAAAAATATTATTTATAAACTACATTCCACATATCACAAGAAATGACACATGCAATACATTCTGCCCTTCAAATTGGTATAAAATAGAAATGGTCACAAATAAGCACATGTACAATTATTCCACTAGTATATTCCAGGTCGATTATACATACCATTGGTCACAAAGGGCTACAACACATTCATCGCCTGATCGAGATATGATTTGACGTTCAGGTTCCATGTACAGGATAGCTTCACCCTAAAGTATGATGAGCAAAATGAAAAGTCTTAACAAAATTTATTCAGAAATATTGTTGTATTTATATTTAGAGATTGCTACTTATTTTTTTTTCCTTATTTTTACTCAGAAATATTTAATATTTGGCATAAAGAAATATTCTGAATGCTTAGTGTAAAAACAAATTCCTTTATAAGAAACTCTCTATCATTACAAAAGTCTATTTAACCTGTAATAAATTTAGGAAAAAAATATAGTTAACAAACAAAAAACATATAAATAAACAAATCTGCTTTACATCTTTAGTGGCTCGATAATACAATTTTGATTTTTCAAACTGAGAGCTATTTACATATGACAATAAGTAGGAAGTTGTGAATTTTTTACTTGTGGCTATATAATTTTTCAATTACATAAAAAAAGCACAAATAAAACGCTAGCAGTTTCAACTCATGGACTTTCCTTCTAAAAGGATAAAGACCTTTTATACCTATCTTTTTAACCTTAACCCCTGTAAAAGAGCAGGTTCACCTGTCAAAAGCACTAGGGTTTTTATAATTTTTTAATGTAAATTACCAGTCTTTCTGATCCTACTCTTTTTAATGTTTCCACATCTCCTTGGACTTTAACTTAAAGATTATCTTAATTACACATTTCTACAAACAGTAAAATTTAGGCTATTTTATACTAAATACAAATAAAAAAAAAGAAGGAAGAATTAAAATGAAAACCTTTTCATTTGCCTCTTTTCAATAATTTTAGGTCATCAAGAAATTAATTTTGCTTTTTTTTTAGATGAATACCCCAAACAACTTACATAACAAAATAAAACATTTATTAAATGAAATAGTCTCCATTCTTATTGATGATGCTATTCCATCTTTCAATCAGCTTGTTAATGCCCTGATTAAAGGAATCACTTGGGTTTGAAGCAAAAAACATGTCGATGTCCTCTTTAACACCTTCCACATTTGCATACGTTTTCCCATTAAGATGGTGTTGCAACCAACGAAAAAGATGGTAATCTGATGGTGCCATATCTGGAGAATATAGTGAGTGGGGTAAAACTTCCAAACCCTACTCCATAATCTTGTGTTGCGTCAAACGTGTCACATGCAGATGTGCAGTGTTGTGGAGAAGAACACCTTTCCAATTGATGAGTGAAAGGCATTTCTGATGAAGGACTTGATTTAAACGTTCCAGTTGCTGACTATAGATCTCTGCATTGACAGTTCACTGTGGATTGAGGAGTTCGAAATGATTGCTCCTTTGATGTCCCACCAAATACAAAGCATCACTTTCTGCGGATGGAGTCCAGGTTTTGAGGGTGGAAGTGGCTTTTGTCTAGGACTGAGCCATTGTTTTTGGCATTTAATATTTTCATAGAGAATCCACTTTTATCATTCTGTCCAAAAATGGTTCACATGCATTACACCCCGGAAGAGACGAAGCAACGTTCACTTGTTGGAAACGATGATCATTGGAGAGTTAGTGAGGCACCCAAACACCTTCATTATGGAGTTTTTCCATATTCCTTAGATGTTTACATATTGTTTCATGAGAGAAATGCAATTTCAAGGCCATTTCATGAGTGTGTGTTGCCTTGGGTTAGACTCAAAAAGTGTCATCAGAACATCAATCTCAATTCCAACATGTTGGCCCCTGTCATCACAGTTTTTAAGGCTAAAGTCACCTGAACAAAATTTGATGAATCATCATTGACACTTACAAATGTTCCAAACATTTCCATAAACTTCTTTGATATTCTTTGTGGCTACAGGTGCATAGTTTCCTTTCTTGTATTCAAACAGCATTACATGCTGAATGTGTGTCTCGTTGTGTGCCATCACTATAAGGGATTAGAGTATACTAAACTTTACACATTATATAGGCTAAACTAACATGATAGTTGATTCATTTAACTATTATACGTGATGTATGTTTTTGGGAGGTGGTTAATGAAAGTGTTCCAAAATACGATATTAATTTCTTGACAACCTAATATATACAAATTATATAAGATTACAAACACTAAGCCAAGCTTTTCACTTATGCAGCTATTTGAATTCTATGTCACCTCATTTTTAACAAACTCGAACTTAATTTCTAAATCATAATCTTTCGAATACACTAGAAATTATCTTAAATATCATATTCTTGTGAGCAAGCTACCAAATTACTTTCCATATTATACTTTTCTAAAAATGCTAGTGCATGACTTTCATATCGCATCTTTCTACCCAAACTACAATTTAAGTTCTAAATCATATCCTTCCACATAAGCTATAATTTAACTTCAATATCACATTTTTCTAAAAAGCACAAGCTTGTTAAACATGCCTCTGATAAAGCTAGGATATATTTTCTTTTACTTATCAAAACATTTTTTCTATAAAGCCTTTGCTTCCCAAATCAAATCTTATGAACCATTAGGAATTACCTTTCTTACTCATTAATTACCTTATATTTCTTCTGTATTTTTAGCTTATTTGATCTAAACATGTAAACATAACTTATACATTTGAATTTACTAAATCTAAAACACTTTTATCTATCTTAATGTATTTTGATACATGAATTGCTCTTATAATATACAATTTTTTTAAACATAAATGAACTTCTGTATATATATATTTTTTTTTTTAAATCAGCTTACCTTCTCTATCATGTCCTTTTGGATTAATTTCTTAACATCTTGTATTTTCTTTCCTTTATATGCACCAACTTGTAATACCTTTAAAACAGAAAACCAAATAAACTCAATGTAAAGTTATACATTTCCAATCATGTGTTATCTGCCCTTAAAAAAAGGCTAAATAATACTCCATTACACCAAAATTTAAACAGAAAAAATTCATTATACACTACACTAATCCATTTAAAGTGAAAATTACATTACATGCTATTCTATTCCATTTAACCCTAACATGACTGGTGAGCATCTTCCAGGTAACAAGTGTACACATGCATATCAAATTTTAAATATTATCTGTGCAGCTACAAAGAGACTTATTTGTAAACAATGCCTTTATAATAGATTGTTTTTAAATTTTTCTTCTTACCCCAAAACATAGGTTTCTATTTGCTAAGAAATTATCATACCTTGAGACATATTATTATTCATGTCTTGTTTCTTCTCTGTTACTGGTTTTAATACTACATCACTTCATTCTCACCCTTTTATAAAGTCAGAGTATGTGATCTTACAATTATTAATGTTCAGCTTTTGAAAATATATAGATTGAAATAGATGTAAATGATTGGATAGAAAATATTATTATATATATATATGTATGCCACTTTAGAGTAAATAAAATGGTTTAGCAGCAATCTGTTGTTATGAAGATATTGGATACCTGGAGGTTTTGTAGATGTGGAACAATGGATCCTCATGGAAAGTTTAGAACAATTAGGAACACATTTTGGATCTAGGAATTTTTTATTGTTTGTTTGTTTATGGCAAAACTACTAAGACTATCTGCCACCAACTCTAAGTTGTAACTGCTGACCAGGGGAAGGCAACTAACCAGCAGCACCCACCAACAAATCTTGGGTAACTCTTTTCCATTGAATACTGGGATTAAACATTACATTATAATGTCCCCAAGGCTAAAATGGCAAGCATATTTGGTGCAGGATTTCAATACCACAACCACATATTGTGAGTCAAGTGCCCAAGTCATCAGGCATTTGAGACAAATTTTTCTTTTTATAGTTTTTTAGATGTTATTTTCATTTCTGAAAATTTTGTCTTCGTAAATTATATCTGCATGAAAGATGCAGAAACTTTCTTCTGTGACATGGCTTCAGGTAAGCTTAGTTAGGTTTAGTAAGTATGGTGAGAAATGACACAAATCCTTATTTATTGAAAGTTGTTGTTGTTAAGTTTATCACATTCAAACAATGCATACAAGTAAAAATAAATTATTTACTGAAAATAAACTATATTTATTGGATATAAACTGACCTTGACCAGAATATTGTTTGGAAAATCAAAATACTCTCAAAGGTAACACTACAGTATTTTGAAATATGAGGTTCTTAGCTACCTGTAAATTCTTTTCCAGTTTTTGCCATGTCTTTTATGATTTATAAGCAAAAGTGATGGCTCCTTCAATCAGGAAAATAAAGTATTAAACTAAATACTTTAATGAATATCAATCAAGTTAAAACTGACTGGATAAATAAAATGAAACTTTCTGATCAACAAAATAAAATTTTTAATGCTCTGACAAAAAAAGGAAGTATTTATTTGATTTAATAAACTATATCCTTATGCCAAGTTTATTAACATAGGTTGATAAAAAAGTAGTTTAATAAAATTTTGAATGTAATGCTAAAAAAGGTCGTGACATGTTCACTTTGACCCACCCATATCCAGAAGGTTAAACCAAAAACTTCACCATATAGTATGGGAATTCATAAAAGACTGAAAACCATTCAAAATGAAAAATCAACCTAGAAACCCATAAAAAAAAACAAATCACTATGTATACTTCTCCATTGTTAGATACACATGACTGTTTCATTTAAATTTAATACGAGAGTAATGATTTAGATAGATATAATATACTAAATGTTTACATTTAGTATTTTTAGAAGAGATAATTTATTGCCAGTTTACTTACATAACTGTTTACAAATCATTTGTTGTGTTGTTCAATTTTGTGAGTTGACTTCATGTTACTCAAACCTTTGGAATTTTCCTTGTTGCTTCAAGTGTGTATTATTACAACATAATGTCTCGTAGTTTGTGGAAAGTTCTAGGCCTCAGTTGGTCAAAATATATATATACATATGTATGTAGGCGACCAAGTTAGTGAAAGTAAAAGTGAAGTTATACTGCATGATTGAGTTTAGCCATAAAGAGCATATAGAGGAGAATAAATTGTCTTGTCAAAGGGTGTTCTAAAGTACTTGAACCCACCTGTGTGGATTTGGATGATAACCAATAGTGTAACTAATTTTTGTGTACATACGTTTGACTTGTTTTGAATATATTATTTTCAAACAAATGGATTGTGTGCTGTCCATTTATTGTTGAAATTTATTGCCAACAAGTCACAGGCACCTACTGTAAGAGAATCCAGCCTATACAAAACCTGACATTTGTCCTATAAAGAATTGAAAGTCCACTATACCAAGCAATTACACACTACAGAAACCTATCAGAACTCAGAACTTCATTAATATATACTGCTCCTTTCTATAAAAACTGAAAGCACCACTACCACAACCCTATACAAACATATTAGAACTGACAACTTCACTGCTATGTACTAACTTAATCCATTAGACTTCAAAACTGCATAATTAAGACTTACAAATCCATCAGACCTAATGAAAAAATCCAATTTGACATAATTCTACTGCAGCAACTGTAAAGGGATCAGTTTTACTGTTGACTTTAAAAGTTTATATTGCCAACAAACTATCTGACTGAAGACTGTAATAAAAAAATATCAACAAGCTGTACTATAAACTAGTAGTTACACTTCAAAAAATAAATATAAATAGATTTCAGCACAGAAAGTGAGAATCTTCTTACTCCCTCATAAAATCCTTTTAGATAAACTTTTTCTTTGGCTTCATTCAGTTTTTCTCTATCATTTTGACTTTGAATCTTCAGTTGTTCACAGACAGTCACAGCACATAGATTGCCAAAACCTGGAACTTCAATGATAGGTACCTAGAATGAATTGAACACTTTTTTTATGATTGAAAACTAAAAATATAGCCACAAAAATGAGTAGCATCTGGAGAAATGTTAACCAAACAGCAATAAAATATATTTCTATGTTAGTTAGAATTTAATAAGTTAAAAAAATTTTTCAAATGTGTAGTCTAACAATTGTTGTACAGATTTAGAATTAACCTGAATGTTTTAAACTGGTCAAACAACCAGTTTATCACTAATCATTACAAATAAAAATGGCCTATTAAATTAGCTATACAAAGCTATAATTTTTTAATTATGATGTATATAGATAGCTTGCTTTGATCAGAAGTTTATGGTAACTTATACGATTGTATGATGAATTTAAAATAAAAGGAAAATCAAAAACATAAAGTCAGGTGGAACAAGAATTACACTGGACAACAAAAACTTTGCTACTGGAAAAACTCAAGTGATTCGGGGTAAGTTGATGATGCTGATTTAAAAAATGTAGTCAGAATCTGCCCTTCACTTCTAGATTTTGAGTTATTGTAATATCTCAATATTTTATCAGTACTACATGAAATACCATGCAATCAGCTCAGTACAATAGATTTTTGCTGTGAAATTAAGTTTACTTGGATAGTTTAGTGGGTAAAAGGCATATATTTTTGATAACTTGAATCACTGACTGTATTGTATTGGTGTAAAATTCCAAATATACTGTCCATATATGCTATTTGTTATTGATATAACTGTAGCAAATTGCACCATTTTTGCTTCATTCCTGCGCCCACTTGCTCCACCCAAGAATCATGAAACCCTCAAGTGCTCAGTTTGCTAGAACATTCAAGAAGTCCCTCAACTGAGCATAAAAGGTGCACAGTCAAATGCCTTTTTCTTAGTTTCCTCTCACTCACTCATTTGGTCACTTTGCCTCACTCCATGTACAGTCAAAATAAAGTCCAATCTTCTTCCTCACATCATAGCTGTGATATAATCAAATTCTGCAAAACTTTGTTTTTTTAAATCTTTTAAACTCTTGTTCTGTAAACATAAATTATTTTATATTTTTTAGAAAATCATTTCAAATGCTGCCTGCCTCTAGTTTAAGTAAAGTATAAAAGTACAAAAATCAACCAAACAGTTTCTGCTACATTTGTGGAAAACATATTACAGTTTCACAAAGGAAACACATCACACACAACATAAAGGTAGTTTACTACCACTATTTTGGGTGTTAAATTGGTGACCAAGAAAAACATTGGGCTCAACATGTGTGTTGTACAGTATATCTGGCTTGACACAGTGGCTGAATAAGAAGAGAGCAAGTATGCCACTTGTAGTTCCCAGGAGTTGGTGTGAGCCCAAAGATCATCTAACTGACTATTATTTTTGCATGACTAATATTTCTGGATATTCAGGCAAAACTAAACAATACATTAAATATCCAGATATTATATCTGCAATGAATCCAATACCTCATGGGGATGGTCTTCCAGTGCCACATCCAACAACGAAATGGGAAGCAGAAGAGTTATCCTGTGAAGAAGACAATGAATCATCTTCATCCTCTTCATCTAGTAATCCTATTCCTGTGGCACCTAAACATAAGCTGCCTTATATGATCACACAAGAGGAGCTAAATGATCTGATTCGTGAGTTGTCTCTATCAAAGCAGCATGGGGAACTTGGATCTTGTTTACAGCAATGGAAGTTATTAGCTCCAGGAACAAGAGCTTAAATTTACTGAAGTTGTCATCAAAGTTTTGTTTCTAACTACAACATGCAAGATACCTTGTGTTTCTGTACAAATGTTGATGCATTAATGGAAGAATTAGGTATTGAATATCATTCTCAAGAATGGAGACCCTTTATCTAAAGTTAGTCTGAAAGCTGTATTTTTGCACAATAGGAACACAAAGACATTGATTCCTGTTGCTCATGCTGTGAACATGAAAGAAACTTGTCAAAGCAAGCACATCATATATTCTTAAATGCAATTTTCAAGGAAGAAATAATAATTAAAGAAAAACTTATTCTCATGATATATGAAAATATTTTGAATAAATCTATCATAACTCGAAAACTACAAGTGATCAGTAATTTTTAACATGGTTTTTAGAATCAGAAACAATTTTTTTGTTGCCCAGTGTTATTTAAAATGCAACATTTGACATTTTTTACATTTAACCCACATACATACTGGATCATAGGGAAGAACCATGTCATCTTTAATTCCAAATTTTTCTCGCAGAGCTTGTTTGTTTTTCAGATCTCTCAGTGCAGCAAAGTCATCAGGAGCATCAGAAGGAACACTTGTCACTATACCAGTACCTAAAGAAAGTATTCAAAACTAGATCTTCAGTTTTTATTCAGTATTTGTGAAAAATAAAAGCTAGAAGTGATCAATAAACTTCTAAAAAAATCTTTATTCTTATTAGCCCCATAAACAGATACATTAATGTATATTTTAATCTTTTATTGAACCAGATGAAGGATTAAAATAAATAAAGAACAATTAAAAATGATAAAAAAAAAAACACAAGACTAAGTTTCCTTCCAAAGTCTGCATAGGAGTTTACATGCTAAATGAAAATGCTCTCCCACAGATAATTCTCAACGGAAAACTTAACTCTACAAAAATATTATTTTCACCAAGAGATTGGTCTTTGGGCATATATTTACTGTTAAGAAAATTGGAAGATATACCACAAGTATGAGGTAGGAATATATCACTCACCAGTAATTTCAAAATTGAGAAGATTCATTCATATTAGTATAATATTTAAACACTTTTTACTGGTTAAGTTGAATAGAAAAAATGATGTAAGTCTTCAACTAAATATTCAAAATTTACTGGTAAATTACATCTTTTTTTACATTCTTCCAATGTTTCAAAACTACTTTAGAATTATATTAATTTCTGTTTCATACAGTTCTATGGCTTTTCTTGATCTACATATCCAGCTTACCCTTTTCTTCTTTGATGGTCAGCATAGGAAGTGTGTAGATCTGTTTATAAGATGTTAATGGGACATGCAGGGCTAATCCAAGAATATCCTTAGAAAGAGAAAAATATTTTTTTTAACAAAACCAATTTAGTGCATTAGAAAAGCACCAATACTTAGGGTAGCTACATCCTGCCTATATATATATATATAATTATATAAACAATAACTTCTGACTGTTCAAGGATTTTTGTTTGCTTAAGCTAAAACCTGCATAATAAGGTATTTGTTCCACACCCATTGTGAGTATCAAACTCAAATTTTTAGTATTATAAGTCCTCAAACTTACCACTGAACCACAAGATATTAAACCTCAGAAAAATATCATCACATTACATAGTATAAAAACTAATATTCAAGTACTGTAAGCAAAAAACAAGAGTTAATTCATGAGAGACTTTTTTTACCTTGATAGACGAGCTTAATTTAATATGTTTATAAAGATAATGCTACAATAATTTATATTGTTTGTTTGTTTGTTTTGAATTTCGTGCAAAGCTACACGAGGGCTATCTGCGCTAGCCGTCCTTAATTTAGCAGTGTAAGACTAGAGGGAAGGCAGCTAGTCATCACACCCACTGCCAACTCTTGGGCTACTCTTTTACCAACGAATAGTGGGATTGACCGTCATATTATAACGCCCCCACGGCTGAAAGGGCGAGCATGTTTGGTGTGACGGGGATTCGAACCCGCGACCCTCAGATTACGAGTCGAGCGCCTTAACCACCTGGCCATGCCGGGCAATAATTTATATAAAATCAACATTACCATTACAAAATGAAGCAAAACTCGTTAACATGTTTTAAATGTTGAAAACATTGATAAATTGATTCAATTAACTTTTAATATCATTAAAAAAAATACAACTTGGAGCAATTATTAATCTTAGGAGAAAATAAATTCAGTGCTTGATTCTTTGGAAAACTACATTACTCTCATAAGGTAACTTGATAAACATATGAATGTACAAAAAAACATGTAGTTTGACTTTTAGTTTTATTACTAAATATACATAATTAATTCTGACATAATAACTCCAAGAGAATGAAAAAACTCTTAAATGTTTAAAATCAGTAAAAGCTAATGTAGAATTTAACTTTTATAGTCTTTCACATAGGTATTTATAGCCCAAAACTGTTCCAGCACAACACACACTTCTAAAAATTATCCAAGCTACCAGAGAAATTCCCACCAAACTGATACTTGTCTCACCATAATTTAAAGATAACTTGTATATAAATTCCATACTTTTTCAGATGGCTAAGCCTAACTGGAGAAATTTCCATTTCAAGTATTATTGAAAAAACCTATGTGGTATTCTAAGATACACTAACAATGTGAAAGGTTTTGGTAAAATTTACATTGTAGAGATGTAACTGTGTTCAACTTAATAAGGAATGACAGAGAAATGCTCAACAAACAAAATGTGGCAAGTTGTTAATTCTGGGAATAAAGACATTGAATAATAATAATACTTAATTCTTTCTTTGATTGGGTAAACTATGTCACCAAATAAAGCCAAAGCCAAAAATCTGACAAACATTATAAAAATTCAGAGAGAAATAACTTTGTTTAGGATTATATTCAATTCTTAAGTAAGAGTTTTTTAGTTTTTAGTTTTTTTATATATAACTAATATGTTACACAACTCATTAAAACCAAATCAATGAAATGGTCAGCAAGATGGCTAGCTATACAAAATAGAAAAGTCCTGGACAAAGCTTCAAATGCTTATAACTGTCCCTAAGAGTAATATTAGTGGATCCCATAGTTGGAGATTCTGTTTATCTCGACCTTGTAATTAAGTACAGAAGTATATATTACGATTTTTAAACGTTTTGTAAATAAAGATACAGAAACTAGGTTATGGTGAGGTTTAGTTCAATAATTTTAAATATCATATTTTTCTTTGTGTCTTTGAGTGTATTTAGTTTTTTTCATGTATTTAACCAATAGAACCTGGTGATGGAAAGGTGTGGGTAGAAGTCATTTCCTTTTGTTTGATCAGTGCACTGCAAGCTTTACCCTAAAGAGTTATTATATTATCTGCCATCAAATACTAGTGAATTGTGTTTCTTACAAGTTAACTGCCCAGAAAAAAAAGAAAGATTAATTTCATATTATTACCTAGTAAATCTGTAACTGATGTTACAAATTATATGGTTTATAAGTTATTTATTATACACTCTGTAACTCTGACTGATAATTATAAATTCATTTTCTTTTCATAGGTGTAAGTTACTTTTTAACTATTTTTGTTTAGTTTTTTTTCTGCTAAAAGCCTCAGATCATTTTTGTATTGTAAAAGAGATGTATACATTCAGAATTAAACTATAAGAAATATCAAAAGTCTACTTTTTGAAAGCACTAAGGTTATAAGGTTTCATATTTTTGTCTTCAGTTGATTTTTTTAACCTACATGTTTTCCTAACATCATGAATGAAACTTAATGAAGCAATAGACTGAATTGTCTCTTTTCTTCTTCTTAAGCAGTTCATTGTGCTCTTATCACTCTCTAACTTGATTTTAAACAACATATCATGACTTTTAAGCTGTTCTGATTCTTGTTTTCCATTTATTCTTTATAGACTTGAACATTATTAAACTTAAGACTGAAAATTTTATAAAACATTATGTTGTATTATCAAGTACTTTAGAAAGGGTACTATACTTATAGTGACCCGTGTTGTAGTTAGTGTATCTTCACAATTTCTACCTACTTTTAAAATACAGGAATCTAACCTAAAAAATTTCTCTTTTAGTCTGTTTTCATGCAGTTTTGGCATAAACACATGACCCAGAAAACTGCTAAATTGCTCGTGTATTTGTTCTCTGTAGGAGATAATATCTATTCTGTTCAAGGGGATATTGTAGTACATCCTGAGAAAATCACACCACCAAAATAAAAGTCTCGTGCTGACCTCAAAAAAAAAAACCTGAGGACCATAATATTCTCTTGCCTTCCTCAGAAATGAACATACAATTTCTTCCAACCTCTTGCATCATTAAAAAAACTTAAAAAATTAGAATTTTATATGATATAACTCGAACCTGATCGAGTTATATCGTTTAAAGATTTGTGATCGTATCACACAAGAACTATTTCATATTTTGCTTTAAAAAACCTGTTGCATTATTGTAACTCAAGCAGGTTCACTAGCAATAAGAAAAATGAACTACATCTTAGTGCAATAATTCTGGTAATTTTCTAATATCTTCTTTTACTCTTCCTCAATTTAGATATGTTTCATATTCATCCTTTGCATTTGATTTATCCATATTTCAAATTTAAAATGCATAAAATTATACAGTTTTCACAACATAGTTATTTTTCCTTTTAACATAAATATTTATTTTAACCTGAAAAAAATAAGACAATTTGATGATAATAATTATGGATAATTAAACATTAACTTTCTTATATTCAAACTTTCTATTTCATCAGATTTCTCAAATAAACGTAACACTTTAAAAACTCCTTTTTTATCAGTACATGCAAAATCTTTGGAGAAAAGAAGACTACAATAAAAAGTTATATATACATATTTTTTAAATTAAGTTTCATCTACAATAAAATTACAAACCTGAACTGCAATAACAATTTTATATATTAACTTATCAAATTGTTTCTACACACAATTTTCATTCATAATAAATGTAGGAACTAAATAAAGCAGAACTAAACTGCTTTACTACACACAGTATATCAGAATTATGTAATAACTTCTGAAAGAAGAGCTGTAAAAAATTCTACAACAGTAATTACAATTAATAATAAATAGTCTTAATTTGAGTAAAACAGGCAAATAACAAATAAGCTTCTATGACCATTCTGCCCAAGGTCATCAGTTTGGTACCATTGATGCCAGTAGTGTTTTTGACTCTTCAACCAAGAACACCTGATGTAGTTAGGCCTGATTAGAAAAATTACCAAGCACCAAAACAGAAATGTCACATGTAAAGCCTCAGGTACCATGCCTATAACATTTAATAAATTTACTATAAATTAATCAAAACAAAAGACATACCTTTCCTTCAAGCTCCAAAACAACATCAATTTGTCCATTGTGAGAAGTATAACCTTGATAGCTCATATTTAAAGCAGCACGCCTGGTACACACAAACACTTCACCATTAGCCATGGTAAAGGCAATATATTTCATGTCAGGTCGTACCCAACAGTTTGTCTGTCCATACATTGTCTCCGGTCTCAGTGTCGCTGCCACTAAGTATACCACCCTTCCTGTCAGCCCTCTAAAAGTGAGTAATAATTTTACATACAACTTACTTTGAAAAAGTGAAATCACAATTTAAGCATTAGATAACAACTTTTTCATTCTTTAAGCACTAAAAAACAACTCTTTCATTCTAAGTACAAGAAAACAGCTTTTTTATTCTTTAAGGAAAGGATAACTCTGTCTGCATTGTGTCTCACAAATAAATATACAGAGTGATGTAAAATTACACACCACCAGGATTTTTTAAGAACTATTGCACCATGATAACACAACAAAATGTTACTTGTTCATTGAAATTGAGGCTCATTTCAACACATTCTTGTAATTAATGACATCTAGATAAATAATTATAACAAAAGAAAGACATTTAATGAAACACAAACATGAGTTAGAAATATCACGGTGGTGTAATTCAGTAAACAACCAAAGCAATTCACATATAAATTGTTTCTGTATGGAAATGTTTCAAAAAAGTATGCTCTCTTACAGACTTTTAGTTTCTACAAGTTGATGAAAGTTTACATATTATAATTAGCATCATACTACTTCAAACAGCATATGGATCTGGTACTGGTATTTTTCATGCAAGACCTTCCAAAGTACTTGCACATTTTAAACCATACCATAAAAATAGAGGCATACCATTCACATATTAATAATGGCTTAGTGTGAAAAAAAAAGTTAAAATATATTCAGTAAAGCAATGAAAACTGGTCTTGCAGAATTTAAATCTTAAATTTCAACCTTTAATGATCTTTGTCTTAATTTTTTCATTTCTGACAACAGTAACATTTCTTCCAAGAACACAAATAAAAACTTACTATCCTCACAAATCATATTATTATTATTATAACTTTTGAGAAGTACCAAGTAGTCTTAGGAAGGTAACATCTGATCAAGGTACAATGAAGATGCTATGAACTTTTAACTTCAATGTGATCACAACTTTATACTATTTCACAATATTACACTATTAAAATAATCCATTCTAACAAAATTACGTTATATAAAACTTCCAAAAGAACTTTATAATTATTCACATATTTAATGGCTTTGAAATTTATAGTTTACAACATTAAATGTTCACACCTAACATAAAATCATGAGCATATTGAATTTTTATTAAGAAATTCAAATACGGTAAATGACAAATATTTTTCTTATTAAAAATAAATCTTAAAAATGATCAAAATATTAATATCAGTGCCAGCCAACATATTATTGTAAAAGTGTTTAGTACTGGAAGTGGTATATAATTATGCCATTCCAAGATGTAGACATTGATTTAAGTGGTGTAGTGAGCAAGTCTTAAAAGTGGACTTCAAACACAAAAACATTTTAGATGTCAAAAAATAAAAAATTTCACAATTTTGCTTAATTAATTAATTTATACAATGATTCATAAAGTTCACCATCTTTAAATAATCCAGTTCTAAAGTACAAAAACATGACTATATTTGTCAGTTTTACATAAAATTAAGTAAAACAAGACAGACATAGTACATTAAATCCACCAAAGGATCTGTAAAATTCTAACTTTTTTAAAAACACCAATAATCTATACATATAAAAAAGTGAGTACTGCAGTATACCCTGTTAATAACTAATAAAAACATTTAGAAGAATTTTATTTCATCTAAGTATACATTTGGTGTTATAAATGTATGACCATTTATTACTCTTGTCTTGGTCTATTTTTTCCTTTAATTATTTATTGCTCAATAATACTAATCAATTGAGATAATAATAAATTACTTTTTATATATCTTTATCATAAAAGTCAACAGGTAGTTTTTACATTATTTATGATAATAAAAACACAAAAGACAAAAAATATGAAGAAAAGTATAAGAATAAAGTGGTCATTCAAAGTAACTTATATGACACCAAATGTATTCCAAGATTAAATGAAATTCATTTAATGCATCATATAAAAAGTAACAAAATAAAACAAAACCATATATATGAAAACACTTCTTAAATAGTTCAAATTCATCTCTTATATCATATTCACTGTACTACGTGGTTTTGCCTCATTAGGCTTACATAGGTTTCATGACCTTTGACACCCCCATATTTCAAACTCTCCTCCACTTGTGTTGCTTAGGTGTTTTGATATGTCACAAAGAGCTTTATGAAGATATTTTTCTGATAAAAACTACTTCAGACACTAAAAACCATGGATTTGATATTATTGTAATTTATGAGGAAATTCTTGCATTTCATAATGTTTTTGAAATAATAATGTAAAAACAAATCAAAATACTCAAATTTACATGAAAATGTCCTATAGTTAGAAAGATCAAATATACTAAAATGATTTTTTATACTCATCTTATGCAAATACCTTATGTTACTCTTGTCTAACTACAATCAGATCAACTACAAGTAAACTAAAGCTTTGTTACATTTACCTACTTCAGAAGGGAAAGAACACCCCAAAATACATCTAGAGTGGAATGTGTGTGGTTTAGAAGAATAATGGTATACACATAACCACACCCTGGATAATGAAAGATTGAATATTTGGTTGGGTGTAATGTTAATGTGAGAACAAGTGCAGAATAGAAGGAACAAAAAGAGATAAAGTTTGATAAACACAACAAATCACTGTACAATTATCTTTCATGTCTTCAAGTTAAAAAATGCAAAATGAAGGTAAAATAAAACTAAAACAAACTTGAAATGAATACTAGGATATGAATATGCACATTTGACATATACAATATACTTGAAAGCACTAAAATTGCTCTCATGACCCACAGTCTCCCTGTAGCTGACCAATCACAAATGGACTGAATGAATCTTGAAGTATCTTTATATCATTTTACAATCATGAAGCTGTCCTTTACATACAAAGTAAAGCAGGATATAATACAACTATCCCACAAAACAGTAAATAAGTTCTTTTACTGCATCAATTACAGAAAGTAACACCTCAGGCTGAATTTTCCATCCAACTTGATTTAGTGTTTCAGAATTAGAGCTTAGGAAAATTTAAAGATATGAAATATCTATTATGGAGGACTGAGATAAAATATTTGCATACGTATACTAAAATTGTAAGAGCTGAAAGTTTGTAACAGTTAATCTCATATCCATAAGAAAATATGATAAAAGTAGGCAAGAGCAAGAGTTAGCAAAAAGTATATTCACATTCAACAGTGAAACAGTTTCAGAAAACAAAAAAGCATCAAAATTAAAGTAGATCTTTAGTTCTATGAAAATGGAAGGTGGTTAATATGCACGTGCCATGACTTTTTACAGAGTGCTATTTAACAAGATATTATGATTTAGATGTTGGAGTAATCAACTATTCATTTTACCCTACACTGCTGGTTTAGCAATAGTTCATGGTAAAGGAGAGTAAATATCAGATACAATTTACAGTGACACTGATAAGCTATTGATATGTATTTTGGAGGTTCTAGAGGTATATGCAAATGAAATATGCAAACTGTAAGAAGAACAAAAGTATTTTTATTCTTCACATAAACATCACCTTGCCCTCTGACTTGTTGAAGTCTGAGTCAGACTGATGTCATCAATTCAGACATATCATAAATAAAAATACACTTGTAACATGTCTGATTTTTTGTGTACAACTAAAAGTTAGTCATATTTCATGTAGATATGAGTAGCAAAATCAGAATTACAGTCCACATCCCTTCTCCAGTACAGGGACAGTCCAGTGGACTGACCTTGTACACATTCAGTTAAAATCCCATAATTATGTGTAAAAATAAAGTACAAAAAAATTACAAAAGGATCTAACAGAACAAAATATTATATACATAACTTGATATCACTAACCTTAGTTTTTCAGGAAATGGTTCAAGAGCTCTCATTTTGATTAAAGTATATTCTTGGGGTCCAACTCCCTGAACAGAGAAAAAAATATAACAGACAACCACACCTCACATGTTTACTTTATAACTATACCATACATTACAAAAAAGAACAAAACATATTTTAAGTTTTCATCAATCAAAACAACATGTTTCTGAAAATGAATTAATCACAACTGCTTTTTTTTTAAGACAATTTAATTTTATAAATCTTTTCAACACAAAATCCTGATTCTGTCTGATTAACAGCATGAGGCAATGGATTCTTCAACTCAGAAACTAGAAGATACAGTGCCAAATGTATGTAAGGTTCATGTTGTTTAGTAAACACAAGCAGCATTGAAAAGGAGTATATTAATGTGTTCATTATAAATATAAGCAAAGTGGCCAAATACTAACTACAAGCTAATACAAAATGGGGAAAATGCTTACATGAAATTTAACACTTTCCTACACTGAAAATTTAATTCTGATAGATACTTACCTCCTCACACAAGTAGCTTTTCTCGACTTACACCGTCCTCTATATGCACAATTTCTGCTTGCCACTAGCTTTGATACTCCCACCTGCCCTCATGTGTGTTCACATGAGACATTTGCATACAATCATGCAGCAACCCTCCACCAATACAAGTGTGACACAACTATTGTCATTATGTCTTCTTTTCTGTACAGCCCGTAATCCTTTTGAGATTGGGAAGTACCTACAAAACCTAAACCAGAAGTGGGGAGGTTGGGTGGGAAGTGCGAGTGGAGGTAATTATTTGTCGGAAATATATTTACAGTGTAGGAAAATGTTAATTTCCAATATGTTATCTTACCTCTCCTCACAACCAGAAGACATCTCACACTGAGCTGGTGGAGGGTCCGGTTAGAAGATGATCCCCCCTTTAGAAAGCACCCAAAGGAAAGAAACAATGGAGGGACCTGCCCAGTTTAACCATATGTGTACATCCAACCCAACCATCACAATATCTGCTGGGAACCGACATCCAGAGGACGGTAGGAAGGTGAACAGCAAAGTGGGGGTGCATCTACAGTCCTTCACCAGGTATCATCCAGTCTGCGGTAGGAGGAGAGTACCCAGTCAAACATGTGTAAAATTAAGGGACCCCAGGTGTAGAGTGGCTAGGGTGCATCGCACCGTAAATGGGAGATCGGACCTCAATCAACATGAGAGGAACCGCGATAGGGATATACAGCCCATGGTAGAAAGAGGGTCCTCTAACTTTCACCTCTGATACAGGAACTGGTAGGGAAGAACCTCCATACCAAGGATCCGCATCATCATGTGTGCACATCTAACACAACCATCATCATATCTGCCAGGAACTGACATCCAGGGTAAGGTGAACAGCAAAGTGGGAGTGCATCTCCAATCCATCACTATGCAGCATTGGGAATGTATTGTTCAGTCCATGGTAGGAGGAGGATACCTGGCCACACACATGTGAGGACTTATGTGGCTGGTCCAGCTTCAACATCACCATATCCGCTGGAAACTGACATCCAGGGGATGGTAGGAAGGAGGGTGCCTCAGTAGAAGGGGCAAATTGCATGTTGGAGTAATGCATCATCCCATACTGTACTAGAAAAAGAGGAGAAACAGTGAATTGAAGAGTTCAGAGGAACACTGCACCAGAGACAGTGCAATAGGTGACTGCAATACTGTGACCTACAAGATATGGACCATCTGGGATGAGCAATAATCTTTGTTTGTTTCACTCGTGTTAGTCTATGAGTGTATGGTTCAGGACGAACATCTTTATGAAGCAAAATATTGCAAGGCATACTTACAAGCAGTCTTAAGGGACCACCCCATCTCAATGGTTTGCATATATGACAAACAGGTCGTACTGTGCAGATTTAAGAATAAGCATACCTGGTATGGCAACACTTGCCATTCAGAGGGATCCAACTATGCTACAAACGTCCCTGCAAAAAAATGTAGAAAAAAAAAAGCAATGTTTATCCACTCAATAAGACATTGTGGAATGCAAAATGTAGACAAAGAAGAAAAAGCTAGGTGGTGAAGATAAAGAGCAGTAAAGGTATGGGGAGTGGTCCACATACCGGTGCTAATGATGTCCTCCAACGGATATTGGAAATGAGCAGCCAGGGACATGGTAATGTGATGGGAAGATACATAGAAAAGATGACAATCATCGGGAGAAAGAGAAGAATAAGCCAGACAAATCTACCGGTGAATCCAACTCATAAGGGTAATGGGAGAAAGATCACAAAACTGGGAAAGATTCCAAGGAATAAATAATTAGAAGTGGGAAGCATGGAAAGAATCGGTGTGTGCCACGTAACAGCAGAGAGCTCTAACCTGACCGAGGAAGCAATTAGGATCAGAACAGTCATAAAGGTGTAATATGGATGGAATGGAGATGGGTGTGAAGGCAGAATTACCCTCCCGAGTGGACGAAGTTTTGGGCACAAAAGAAAGATTGGGGAAAAGGACCACATAGAAACTGTGAAACAAGATGCAGTGGACATCAATAGCAAACACATTCAAATGAAGACATCCGCACGCCAACATGAGGAGGAAAAGGATCTTCAAGGAGAGGTGATATAAAGAACAGGCCAACAAGGGCTCAGAAAGAGGAAGGGTAAGGGCATGAAGGACGACACTGAGGTTCCAATCCAGGGAGGATGGGTGATGCAGAGGGAACTGAACAAAAGGGGCAGGACTGGTGAACTGTACACACTGGCTTAACATGTAAAAGGAAATGTGGTTGACTAAGCTGCAGGGTAGTTTATGCCAGAGACTGTAAGAGCCAGGTTAAAAAGGAAGTGATGTGGGGAAGGGTTGGATGGGATTGAAAATAACCATGATGTATGGACCAACAACAGTATGGAATGGGAAATCAAAGATGCCATATGCTGTGAAAGTCTGGTCTACCAGGCCAGGGACTAGACAAAAGCCTCACATGAAACCTCAGTGAGGGAAGGGACAGATGACTCATGGCAGATTGGGGCTGACAAAGGAGAGAGAGGAAAAGGAGGAGACATCAGTAGTTGGTACAGAAGGTGGAAACCACAGTTGAACCAGCCAATATGAATACACCAACAGAACCTGATACGGAGTGGGGTAGACATACAAGTGTATGACCAAACCAATCCTGACTGAAAGCATCCACTGCTCCAGCTAAAGGATATGGAACATGAAAACAAAACCTGAGCTGAGAATTGAAATGAGTGGCAAAGGCATCCAGTGATAATTTTATAGGGAGAATCCTGTTGGGATGTGATAAGCAATCTGTGACAAGATTCAGGGCACCCAGAATATGACGAGTCAACAAAAGAATTTGATGGCTGTGTGCACAATACAGGAGGTCCAATGGCCAAAAACAGCTTTTCATAGGAAAAACATGGTATGAAAGGGAAAGATGGCCTGCAAGTGAGATAGAAGTAGACAGTCATCCTTGTAAATGTGGAAAGGAAGGCCCCAAGAAGGACAAAGACAGGAAAATGCAAAGAGTACCTAACCAAAAACATAGAAAGCTGAGGTGAGCCTGAACAGAAAAACACAACCCTGATGGACAAAACAAAGGTAAAGTCAAGATGTAGGGGAGATGAGAAAGTAAAGAGAGACCACTGAACTACCTACCGTAGTCTTCCATAGACCAGGAGTGAAATCCCATTGTTTCTAAGATAACCCCCAAAACCTAAGGTCCATGTCAAAGAACCACCTAATGTGGACAAAGTGGAAAGGCTTGGCCCCCCACAAGACTCGAACCTATTATGTAGTATCCAAGACTGTTGGTTCCCCTTATGAGTGCCACAAGTACTGACAGCAAATCACAGAAATATGAGAGGCTGGAACCTGAAAGAAGAGGAAGGAGGAGGGTGAGACACATGAACAAATTGAGGAAAGTGTTGGGACAAATGGAAGGTCAACTAGGAAAGGAAAGTATGCAGCTATGTTGACTCAACTCAGGATACCAGAGAGTCAGGAATGCCCCCAAAACCTCCTGTAAAATAATCTAAGAGTATATCTTTACAAAACAATGTCAATCTGTGAGAGATTTTACTGATTAGCTGTCTTGCTCATCTTGTTCATAAAGAAACAAAACTCACCTCACCAGAACTTCTATCATGGTCCATGCATGGTTGGTTATCTTTTGGAGAAAAGATAGTGTACCTAGATTTGTTGCAAAAACAAATATAAACTGTAAATATTTAGTGTCTGATGAACTTTTTTGTTGCTACACCAGATATTACTAGCTATAATAACAGATAAGATTTACAGTCCCTACTTCTGTTAATAATTCCTAGTTGTGTATACAAAACCTTACCAATATAAAAAATAAACTTTGTTTCCAAACAAATTATTTTAATGTATAATCATTAAATAATTGTAATAAGTACTTTCTATCATACAATTTGTAAAGATAAAACAAAACCTATTTTAACTATTTCACTTGTGTCTCAGTTTTCATTTTCTTGTGTTATATTTGTATATTTGAATCCTTTATTTCTTATGTATATAGTTCTGTTCTGATTACAAATACCCATAGATTACTGATGATGAAATTATGATGATTCCAAAACTTCTAATAAATGCTTCTTGTTATTACGTTCGTGTTTTTATTTTATCATTAAGCTATGTATTCCGAAAAATGAGTCGATAACTTGTAAAGATTATAACAGCTATACAAAAACCTTTTGAATACAATGATTAATTGAAATGATGAGAAATGTCCATAGCAAAGGAAAAAAATATTAAAATAAGAAAAATACACTTTCTCAAGGTGGTCTACATCTCCAAGAAATAATAGAACAAATAAGGACATTTCCATATTAATGTGAAAAAAATATAAATCTATGAGAAGAAGGACATCTCTAATAACTAGTTCTTAATTAGTGGAGGCATAGTGAACTCAACCGAATTCACAAGCTTTAAAGCATGATGACATTTTGGATTGAAAGATCTCCTGTAGAAACTAAGTATATAAAGTAACTAAACCATAATAGTAATTAAAACATAAACAGTTAAAAATAGATTAATTACATGTAACAAAAATAAAGAACTGACTTTTATAGATGAATGGGTTGTATGAGTACACTTATAGAAGAAGTGGATGACAAGATCTAACATGGAGTAAGACAGTTATACAGTCATTAGTTCAGGTACAAAATATCACAGTAAAATGGTCTTCACAGCAACTTTCCAGGAATAATTTTTATTCAACTTGAGGTCAAATGTCAATCCTTTTGCCCTTTTTTATTGAGAATATTCTTCTTTTTTTCTTAGATAGATCATAACAAAGAGATCATGATGAAAAGTAAAAACAAAAAACTTTTCTCTCTTTTCGAAACACAGTTTTCTATTAATTATGTTAAAACATCAAACTCACTGGATAATGTCCTTTTTATTTGTGAAAGTGTACTTAAATTCTTCATAATTTGTACAAAATTATTAATAACAATACCAAATGATCACATTATGCCAAAAGAAGTGTGATTAGTCATCAAAATTACTTTTATCACTAAATAACAACAGAATTTAAATTGTATAATGAAATGTAAAATATTTAAACAAGATTGTATGCAAGGTACTCATTGAATGACAAAAATCAATTTACATAAAATATCTAATAGAATGCACCAGAAAAAAAAAAGAGTTACCTGAAAAATTTACAGCATTTCACATTTGTTAAATGGTTATAAAATCAAACATTACATCTCATTTTTCATATAAAATGTTCTCAAAAATAAGAAATATAAATTATGGGATCTTTCATAACTGTGTATGAAAACATGTAGTGGTTAAAATGGGCATTATGGGCTGATATTTATTCTAGTAACAAAAACATATCAAATAAATATATACCCAAAACAGAAGAAAATGAGTTAAGATGTGTGCTAAATACCTTTCCTACCAGCATGATTTGGTTTTGCATGAAGATATATTTTGCAATTACAGTGCACGTTTCACCTCAGGTCACTGACCTTATTTTCTTAAACACCAACTTGTGATCTCCCAAGATACATGCTTTTTTCAAACCACTTTAAACCCTGAAAATTGGTTCACTACACAAACTGTTGAAATGAAAAAATATATTGTATGTACCACAAGAAGCATAAGATACTTGTCTGTCTCATAAACTGATGACTTGTACAATGGTTACTTCCAATCAAATAATGCTTAAAATGTATAAACAATGAAGTTTTGTGAGTTGTTGCAAGTTATTTCAATGATAAATAAAAACTGTAATATTTAACATAAAAGTCATATGTATCTCTAATTTAAAATGCTGTAAATTTCCCGGTTATTCTTTACATGACCAAATGAAGAAATTGGGATGTAACAAGTGTGAGATAAAATAGTTTCATTGGAAACTTTAGTCTGTAGTTTCATTGAAAAATTTTATTATTACTTTTATTTTTCAGAGGAGAACTCAAAATTAGTTGTTAAATGTACTATCAAATCATAATACTGGGAGTTGTTTAGGGCTCCTAAGTTTTAATTCTACATCAACAGTCTTTCATGTTTGATATTGCCATCACACTGATGCTTGAAAGTGCATGCAAAATGAGTTTTGCAAATGCTTGTTAGAGCCCCTATCAAGTCTGTCATGATGCCCACTGTTTTGGGCTCACCTTCAGATCCTTTTACAATTTGTCATGGTATTGGCCAGGCAATCAGCTGTTGTTTTTATACACAGACTAGCTGACAGAAAACTTTGTGTGATCCTGTTGGTTGCTATGACTCTGATACTTTGATTTTAATTGGCCTTGCTACATGTAGTAATACAACATTTTTGCACTATATTGTTGTTTACAGACACCAAATATTTGTAAATTTATCAGTGTCTTAAAGTTTAAATTACAAAATTCGATAATAATTATTAATAAATTCAGACTAGCAGGAAGAGTTTTAGCAAATTTGATCATTACCTAAATTGCATTTGAGGAATAACTTTCCACATGACGTGAGACTGCAAAGATTGTTATACCTCAGTGGGATGCTGCAAACATTTCTCATTTTAGCCAGTGAAACTCTGCTTTTGTTGGCAGAAAAATGGTACAATTTTATTGTCCAATTTTGTAAACAAAAAAATTTAGACGTGGGATTAGCCTACTAACATCCCTCATGGACTGTTTGTGGGAGCTGTTTATAGCCCTCATGCATTTTTCAAACATGAAGAACTGTATCAAGCACAATCGTAGTGAATATTAAAATATTTCATTTATGTACAGAATTAAATTATTGTTGATAGCTCTGCATTTTCAATCCCCCCTTTTACCTATCCCACCGAAGGTGACGGAGATAAAGAGTTTTCACCCCTGTGCGTGTGTGTGTTTGTCAACAAGATTTCTCAAAAATGGCTGAAAGGATTTGAACGAACATTGGGATACATTTGGACTATGACCCAACTTAGAAGTGATTAGTTTATGGAGGGTCAAGGTCACAGCAAGATCACGAAAATTCAAAAATCCCTATGTATTAATATGGGGACTGATTTTTCACACTAATTTTGCTCTATAACTAAGTCAAATATGATCAGATTTTGATGCAACTTGGTGGACTTGTTTAGAATGTTATTTCTCATTGTTCTGCCAAAAATGGTCCATGTCTGTTGATAATAATGGACATATGGATACATTTTAATATTTTTTTTTAGGGCTAAACATGATCAATACTGTGTGGCAGAAGTATGTGGTCTATTGAGTGCCCCTCTAGTTGTATATGTATTATTATGTATTTGTAAACTTTAACCTTTTTTCTATTTGACCATAATTTATTTTCTGAAATGGGCCTGCTAAAGAAAATAAAATCAATTGCCCTTGCAAGCAATTTTTCAAAACAATATGTGCACTCTTTTTAGGAGTAAAGTATAATATGATTAAATTCAGGATATATTCCTCACCACTTTCTGCATTCAATATCTTCTGTTTATTTCAAAAGTAAAGAATAAATTACCTTTTACCAAACTGTATCTTATTCCTTTTTTTCAGATGAAGAAACTGCCAACACACAAACGAGTCATAGTATGAATTCACATCTGTAGTGATAAAACTACGTCTCCAGTCAACCTGAAAAAAAATTTTGGTTTGAAAATTAATAATAAATGAGATATTTTTTGTTGATTTCTCAGTGACATACAATGAAAAAAAGAGAAGCCATCACTATGAAATAACCTGGTTCAGTACCTCTTTCAGGAACAAAGGTGAACTTTTTTTTATGTACTTCCAGAACACAACTGTCCCCAAATAAATGTCTTATTGGTATATTTCCTATATTTTATCACTAACATGAAAAATAATGTAGAGTTATAGGTTCTATTGTAACTTTGTGTATAGTTAACCCATTAACTGCGAATGCCGGATATTTCCGTCATTGAAGTTCTTTGGCTCAGCTGCGAATGATGGTTTTAGCTGTGAGTCAGAAAACGGCAACTGAGCTGCTCCTGCCGTAGTTAATGGGTTAATATAGCCTTCAAATGATATACAAAACTCTGAAATTTGAAAACAAACTTTAAAATGTTTCATAGCTAAAAATATTTTTAGCAGCGTAAATATTGTTGAAAGGTATCTCTTTCAAATTTCTTTAAGATTTACTTGAACTCATACAACTGAAATGGTGTGCTCTCTGTCTTTACAGTATGAGAGTTATGTTAAGTTCTGTAAGCAGCTACAAGGCCATGTACATATAGCCTGATGTGTATTATTTACAAACAATTATGCAAAAGTAGCTATAACTTCTTTTGGTTTATTCTACAGACTACACAAACAACTGTTTTTCAATGTTTAAAACTTGCCGGTAATAAAGACTAAAGTAACTCAGCACTAAATGTGAATTTAAAACTGACATTCTTTAACAAAATTATTCAAACTGGGCATATATATATATGTAAACAGAGATAAAAAAAATCGAACAGTAGTTTCAAGCCAATTTCAATAGAAAACTCTCACTACCAATAGATGTTTTAAAAGATAATTATGTTTTCAAATATAGTATATGTAATTTCAATTGCTCACATTCCTATGTATAACATACAGAGTTGTAGAAAACTGAACCATAAAGGTCAGGAAGAAATTAATAAACATTCTGAAATTTCTTAAAGGTGAGCTTAAAAAGAAACATACACGTATCATTTCAATCAGTTAACATCAAACAAATCTTAAGTATCTGATAAGAAGTTGAAGGTATGCCATGAGCACTGGCCACTAACCAGATTCTGAGAGGAGCAAGAAAATCATGACAGTTTACTTCCCAGGTACCCATTTCATCTCCACCAAAAGCTGGCAGAAAAAAAGAAAGGGAAATAGAAGTAGAGTATGAGAGTTTGTACTTGCTTTTAATTGTTGTCAACTCTGATTCATACACCACAGAGCTTCTAAGTTCTCATTGACTGCCCTACTGGCTACTGATATTGTATTACACAAAATATCTGAGTTTAACACGATAAAACGGCATTATAGGTATAAAGAAGAGTTTGTTCAAATGAGTAAAAAGTTTACAAAAGTCTGTTCTTCAGCAAATTCATGTTCAACTGCAAAATGAACCACATAAAAAGTTACTGAAAATTCTCAGACGAAACAGAAATAGCCTGAAATCCTGGATATTCATAAACCATCCCAAGAAGAAAGTTTGGTAGAAAGTTTGTACCAAATAAATACTCTAATAGGAAACCAGTGATCCAGATTATCTGAGAAGTGTGCCTGCTGTTGTACAAGGTGGCATGAATCTTAGGTAGTTTTAACACTGAACCAATGAAAGCCAAAACCTTGACCGAGAAGCAAATAATAATTGTTGTTTTTTTTATCTTCTGATGCTGATTTAATTCCAGTTTGTTGCGCAAAGTACTTGTGAATTTATCATTCAAAATAAAAATGATTGCTTAAAATATTGGGATTTTCCAACATGAGTTGCAAAAGAAAATTCAGCTACATTTTCTATAACCTCGTATTTTACACTGAGTATTCATAATAATAATACAAGAAATAAGAAAAGAATTGAAATTTGTCAATATTTCAAAGTACTAATGAATATTTTCTTGACAAGAAATTACCAGAAAGTAATCAATATAAAAAAAAAGTTACAAAACTTCTGTATTCTGAAAGTTTCATGAAGGTCCTAAAAGTCAAATGGACCACAAATATAAAATATCAAACACTTGCCTTGAGTCCCATTCTCTTTAAATCTTCTATAGCAAGAGGTGGAAAGTATTTCAGCCAATGATCTGAATCAGCAAAACGAACAATCTCTTCATCACTTAATCCCAAAGATTGCATGATCTGCCACTGATAGTGTGCTGCTCCAGTTTTAGCAGTAGCCTTGCTCTGTTTGAAAAAAAAAATGTTGATAAAATTATGGAGCAAATATTCAAGTAAAATTGCATACAATTTCTCTACAAAGAAGCCCTCTTTTCATTTGACTTATACAAGTGTTTTCTTTATATCAAGGAAATATGTTATCACTGCACACATTTATCTGACAATATGTTATGACCTGTATAAACTGGTAATGTGGGATTTTTGAGTTGTTTGATACCTGTATTCTAGCTTTAGGGTTATGTATTAAATTAATTCTTCAGGATAACTTTAACTATTTCTGTTTATTATTTTCTTCAAGTAACCTAATAGTTTTGAGTTTTTTTTGCATTGATTCATCCCTATAACTTAATCTATGTTAATCTTTTAACTGATAAATAAAGCAAAGAAGACATTCACACTAAGATCAAGCTGTGATTGTTAGGCTTAACTCTGGAAGCTCTCAGGACATTTTCGGCACAGCTTTGGAGAAGAACACGTGATTTCACATTTTTTTGTACCATTATGGAAAATTTCATTCTTTAATGTTTGGAGTTTTTCTGAAGGCATAATAATTTGTTTTACTGTACTGCCAAGTTATCTGTAACTGCTTTGGTTTGTTTTTGAGTTTTATTACAGGCTTTAAATGTATATCCCAAGTATGTTTCATTTCACATTGTTTTCAGTACATTTTTAATAACTTTTAACGTTTGCATTTGTGTAGCCACTAATTTTTTTTACTTTGAATAAAGCTATATTTTACAAGTAGGTTAAGTTCTGAGCTTTTATTATCAACCTCTGTGGTGAAAAATACACAATGATAGTTTCACTAAGAACAATTATAAAAATGTTCAATATATATTCATTTTTATTTATGTATCTTTTATTTTATTTATTATTCTGATTATTTTTCAACTGTTAAATCAGTATTTGGATTTATGGCTAATCTAAATCACCTAAGATGGCCAAACCCTGTAAAATATTATTGGAATTATGGCAGAAAGTACTGTTATCATTGAGGGTACACAATTCCTGAATCAATGCATTTTAATCATTATAAGTTTTGTTTTATGACTTTGCATACAACTAGTTAAAACATTAAATTAGTTATAATAGCTACCTGATTAATTTTCAGTTCTAATCTACGTGGGTAGTTTCCTCTGAGCACAAGTTACAAGAAAAAGTATCATATGTGTCAATCTAACCTCAAATAATTTTACTAGTTTAAAAACTCAAGATAATCCCCTATTTTCTCATTTATAGATAGAGCACACTTAGAAGTAACTTTCAAACATGCTTACTTAACAAAACATATGATATGTGTGAAAATTTAAAAAGAAAAATCCAAAATAATCAATACTGCAGTTTGTGTGGTTTACATGTATAGGAGCATCACTTACTTTTTTCCCTTTAGCCTTGTCAACTAACAGAGTTTCTGTGGGGCTTGGCTTAATATTAGCTTGGTGGTTGTTATCCATCTCATAATCTGGAAAAAGGTGGACACCCAAAATCTTCCATTTCACGTTTCAGTTTATCAGCACATGCCTGTAAGTTCCAACAAATGCAAAAAGAGTTGTTTTTAACTTATTCTAAAATTATTTGATTATTTTTAGTGAAGTTTGTGATAATGCAACTAAAATGCATTTTCAAAGCCTAACAGTCATAAAAAAAAAGAGAAGCATAATTTTTAATCAAAAAATATAAAAATCTACCACTAAGAAGTCATGTTAAGTGTTATTCTTTCTTTTGGCCAATAAATTCAATTACTTTATTGAGGTACTGGTCAAGAATCATAAACAACTGAAATCATTAGCTTCAGTTGAAGTATCAGAAAGCAACCTACCTAGAGCAAACATTAATTACAATAAAAATAAATGAAGTGCTTAAGTTAATCATACAAGACTGTTTGGGGTTCAGATTTTTCCAACATCTTCCTTACTTCTATTTTTTAGATTAAAGTATGCAAAATACCTACAGAATGAAATGCACAAAATACTAAATGTTCCATATTTCAAGTTTTTCTTTAGAGACTGTTTATAAACCTTGATTGCAAATTATGTTTTATCTTTAAAAATTTCCAAACCTGCAATATTCATTTATAACAAACACTTTGCATCACAGAATTCTAAGTAACTAATGCAGAAAAAGGCCTATTCTTCCTTATTAATTTCATCTTTAAAAAATGTAAGAGAATGTTTAACTGACAGAATGATTGGATTCTTCTATGTGTTAGTGATCAGTACAATCTTCCCTCAAAAGTGGCAGCGAAGGAAAGACTATTCCAAATATACACATACCAGTTTAGATGGAAACATACCCTCTGGGGATAATTATAACAATGTCAAATATTGGAACTTTTATAAATTTAGACCTAATAGAAATAATAGTGTATGGTATTGCAAAATAACTAATACTACCTATATACTATAAGCAAATTGTGCAAAACAATAAGAAGTCTGCACACCATAAAATTGTTTCTAGATATTTCTTAGAAGACTGAATGATTGATCAAAATAAAGTTTTAATATAAATTGAGTTATAAGAATGAAAAATACCATTTTCCTTTTTACCTTGATCTACAATCACAACATGATCAGTAAAGTTTAAATCTGTACCTTAATACATGTAATTACAAATTATAAACTCTGCTTATGAATTAATCAAATGTGTACAAGTATTGTACATACTGGAGAAGGAATGTTAATTGTAATTCCACATTTACTATGTACATCTACAAGAATGTGGCTTTTAGTAAAATGTGCAACTCTATTATACACCAAAAATCATGTGTGTTACAAAAACTTTGGTACTCAAGATATGTCTGTAAATTGATAATGTTAGTCTGATTCAGACTCTGACAAATTGAAGTGCAAGGTGATGTTCATGTGTAGAATAAAAACACTTTTGTCTGTTGTACAATTTGCATATTGCACTTGCATAGCCTCTAGAGCCTCCAAAACCTACAGTTTTTTAAGTATACCTCTATATTGAATCTGGTACTTAATCTTTTCTACCATGAATTGTTGCTAAACCAGAAATGTAGAATAAAATGAATAGTTAATAACTCTGATATCAATTACATAATACAATGTTGAGTGGTCTCTGTAGAATGTGTGGCATGTGCACTGTGAATGTGTGTCATGTGCACTTTTGTGGGAATTTTCATATACATTTGTGAATATAAAAGTTTCATTCTTATTAAATGTTAGTATATATATATATATATATTAATTTTACAGTTCACTAAAATCCCAATTTTTCCAATATTAGTTGATAAATTTTTGTCATGTTTTCATACTTTTCTAATTTCTAAATGAACCAGAATAATACTGACTACACTAAAAGGAAAGAACTTAAGTATAAATGGTATTAAAACAAAGGGGTATTAACGTAGCATGAAGACTTCAACACAATAAGGTTACAAACATTTCAAAATCTGTATTTTTTTGTTTTGTTTTTAATCGTGGATATTATTTGAAATATAAAACATATGATTTTATTAAAATACAATTTGTCTTTATTGGCTACAATCACACCCTTACCACATGGCCTACTAAACTACCAACTGTGTCTTGTGTAAATGTTAAAAGTAGTACATAAGGATCTGATGTAAGTTATACAATTTGACATTTCCATGGGTAAGTGGTACCTAAAAAGGATATACGACTATCAGGAGTTCTTATATTTTCACACTCATGGGAAATGTCATATGTATTCTTTTTCAAGTGAATGTGTTTAACATTTTGCAATAAAAATCACAGATATTTTAATCACCTTTTCTGTCACCTTACTATGTATGAATTCACATAAATCAATATAATTTGTAAAAAAAACTCTAAAACATGCATACTAATGTTAGCCTTGGTGGTATTTTCAGATAAAACTAATTTACCCCAAAAGTGAATAATGTAGACTCTCTACGTATCTGGAGGTTTGGCAAGATATATTACGAAGTAATTCTGAGTTACTATAAGAGAAACTAAATGTGTGCTAAAAATGAATGGACTGTACAGAATTGTATGAAACACAATGAAATAATATTTAGTCAAACTCACAAGCACAATCAAAATACTGTGTGTATTGGGCAAAATACAGAGCTTTTACTACATAGTTATCTCTAAATTCTCCTAACAATTTATAAAGAGGTTTATTAAAAACTAGTTAACATTGCAGTTAAATATTAGTATATTATCATTATTTAAAGAAATAAGTTAAACTTCATTTATTAAACTGAGGACTTCAGCTTGAGAGAGAGAGAGCTAACATAGATACTGTTACGTCTCTGGTCGTTTGTTAATTTCCCCTAAAAATTCCTTCCGAAAAACTTCAGTGATACAAGTCCTTTCTTAAATAAAACTAGTTTATTCTTTCTTAATACAACTTTGCAATACACTTAATTTGCACAGTCACATTAACTTAAACACACGCTAGAATTCACAATGATTCCCGCACTTTACTACCGCGCTTGACTCAATTGTCTGTCTCTGTCTGTCTGTCTGCAATTCTATTTCTGGTGCACTTATAAACAAGAATAGAGGGCGCCTAGCAAATACTGGATTATAAGTGATGTTCCCCGATCTTTCTAGAACTCATTATGTGTTACCAGCATCATGTGACTTCCACTGTCGTAACACTGCCCCTTCCTTACAATAGCCCAAACAATAGACACTTACATTAAACCAATAGAAAATTAACAACAACTTAATTAAATGGACAGAATTTACAAACACAAAATTAAAATACAACAAAGTCTCTTAATTTTACAGGACGTATCTTCTTCCGTACTAGTCTTTGTCTCGTTGGCTTCTGCTCCATGTGTGGTTCACCTGCTCCATCAGGAAATGTCCCATTATCGGTAGTAGTCACATTAGTGGTAATAACTTCTTTAACGGCTTCACTGTTTTCCTTCTCAAAACCGGGTAGAGTTTGTTC